CCTAACCCTAACCCTAACCCTAACCCTAACCCTAACCCTAACCCTAACCCTAACCCTAACCCTAACCCTAACCCTAACCCTAACCCTAACCCTAAACCCTAAAACCCTAAAAACAGATCGCAAACTTGTTGCAGACTCAGTCTCGCCAACATCCACAGACAGGTACCGGCACCACATCAGGAGCTCAGGCTCCTAACAGTCCCACAGCTCAGTCAACTTCGAATACACAGACTCAGAACCAGTCTTCGAGCACTGCCCCTACATCACAGGCTCGAGACCAGACTGCTCCTGGTGCCCTTCCATCAGATCAGACTGCTTCTTCGTCTCAATCTCGAGGCCAAGGAACATCTACATTCCAGGCTGGCCAATCTTTGGGCACCTCAGGCCTCCAGGATCCTACACCTCCTCGTGGACGCTTTTCATTTGACCCGGCAAACTCTAGGGCTGCTCCAAACCCTTTCGACTCAAGCACAGAGGACCTCTCGAGACATAGTGTCGGCGACAAGCGACCAGTATCGCCTGCGGCCGAGCAAGGTGAAGCACAGAAGATGGCTCGCACCATTGGAAGCACGCTCGAAGAGGGTAGCAGACAGCGAAACAACACTCGGGGTGTCACTGACCCTGAGCCTTCCACGACCCGCACTCCTCCGGCACAGACCACCAACCGTAACTACATTGAGATCAATGTCAGCACAAAGGAGCGTGTTAAGGACTCTTGTCTGGATCAAGTCTTCAAGAACCTAGCTGAGGGCACTTGGAGGTCTCCTGAGGATATGGACGACCCCGATCTTGATGTAAACTCCTGGCTAGGAAAGATCAAGGCGTGTCACACTCGTGATGTCAAGCAGAAATTGGCTGCGTCAGGGGAGGGTTACAACGAGGAATCTTACCGCAGTGCCCCTCGATGCTACGTTGGAGAGATGCAGAAGAAGCCCTGTGTGAGTTTGGACGGAGACAAATGGACCTGGAGTCAACATGACGCAAACCTCACGTGTCCGGCTTGTGAGACTGCCAATCCTGAGTTCGATAGTCATCAATGCCTGAAGGTCAAGGATCAAAACACTTTCTGGCTCTTGAATCCCACCCCTGATAACATCAACACTCAGAGGGCGTGTGATGACAAGCACAATGCAGGTCGCCGCGGTGATGCTGCTCCTGGAGCCTCTCGTAGTGCTCGTCCTGGCCCTGGCCCTGGCCCTGGCCCTGGTGGTCCTACTGCTGGTGGCCCTGGTGATAGCTCTACTACCCGTAGAGGTGGCCGCCACAGAGGGTTCTCAAACGTCTCTGCTATATCCACTAGGACTACTCGCTCTCGCACGTCGCGTGGAGGTACTGCTGAGACTCATGATGATGTACAACCTCAGACATCTCCCAGCAAGAGCAAGCTGTCGTTCCGTAAATTCCTTCCCCAAAAGAAGCCAAAGGAAACAAAGTCGGCGGCTGAGACAGAAGCCCGCTTCCAAGACATGTTTGCTGTGCGTCCTGCAGAGCAGGATGGCTCTCGTTTGCCTCGTCTACCATACCGTCCTGTCACGTTGCCCACTTCGCACTCGGTCAATTTCAACGCCCAATCCAGGGAACCCTCAAAGTCTCACCAACTTCAGAGATCCAAATCTACCAACCTCCTGAGTAGACTGAACCCATTGAATTGGGGCTCCAATGTCGCAGGTGCAGACGTGACCTCAGAGTCGAGAGTCGAATTGTTGGCATCAGAGCAGAACGGCGGACACGAGAATGAACATACCAATGGACACGCCAACAGAGAGGCTAATGGACATTCCAACGGCCATCACGACGACCACCTCAATGGACACAACGGCACGGCCGAGAACGACACTTATGAGACCGATCCTTTGGGCGCTGGTCTTATACCTAGCACTCGCACAGTTCCGCATCGATACACAACCCTTTGAGCTGTGGATCCATTTACTGAAATCTGTACAACATGGCATTCAACCTCATGGTGCAATCTATCACCGGTTCAGTTTTCGCACCATGATACACTTACATGAGCTTGAAAGTAGATAGAGATAGACAGAATTTGATGAGTTCTTGCATCTCCCGCCCTCTCTTACCCCGACATTCTAGAGCATGTGTGATGTTTTTATGATCTATAACCTGTCCAAAGAGCTTCGTCGCTTGTTTAAGAGAATTTCTCGACAACTCATTGATGCTTGTCCTGACTTCCTGATTTGTGCATCACACCAAGCTAGACATGCTACACCAGTTCGTATATGATGTATGTACTAGTAAAAGTCCTTATCTACTTCCACATAGATCCAACGTAGCAACGAGAATCTGAACGACGGCAGCGCAAAAGTCTCAAAGCGTCTCAAGATCAGGTGCTCATTCGGAGTGCTTCTTGATCTATGTCATCTTGACGTCCGGGTTGACGGGATTGAAAGTCCAGCCGGGAGACTGTCGCTTAAGCAGATTGCGTTGTTGCTCCCAGGCCTCGTGAGCGTCGATGTGTCTCAACTTCTTGATAGTAACCTTGCCGCCTTCGATGCGAAATCCCCATACGGAACTCAAAATCGGGGTTACGGATCGCGACATACAGGTGTCCAGAATATATGTCAAGAAAGTCCAGCTTGTCTAGTTTATGTCTGTCCTGTTGACTCTAAATGGTGCATCGAAAAGACGCGGCGAGGATCCAAAGTAGCAGAATGGGCTGTTGAGGTCATTTGTGATTGGAATAAGGTCCATCTCGAATTTGGCATAATTGTTCACGGAGCCCAAAGGTGCCTTACTAAGATCTTTCAGCACAAGTAACCCCATATCTCGTATCTGTCATTGCAGCGACTGATCAAACAGTATTAGCAACTTCGACGAAACTTCTTATGCAACAGTACACAAGCCAATTGAAATCGAGTATTATCATCCCTAGGGCGATTGTCCAGGTTCACGTATTGAACCAACCCGACTCGAACTTGCAACACTTGACGCGCCTGAGCCTTGTGTTATATGGCGATTTCCACCCTGCTTACGGTATCGAATCGCACTGTCAAAAAGATCCCGGTCTACCTTTTCCTTGACACTACTTACATCAAGAGCAATAGACATTGACAAAGAAGCCAGCTCATCCAGCGTCGCAAATGCTTTCATAGGGTGAAGACTCGAGGAGCCGGCACGTCGACAGATAAGATGAGGAGAAGCCTTCAATCACATGTCAAAAGTCCTGCAACGCTTATCGCTTCCAGTCTGGTTTTAGCACACCCTAGATAAAGCTTCTTTATTATTGCAAGGCCAATAAGCTTAATTGGCTCTATATGATAGTTATGATATTGGCAGGAGGTCAAAAGTCGATATCTATCCTAACCATAGATAGAGAGATATACATGATTTAGTAGTTCCTTGCATTTCCGACTGTTTCAAAAACCCGAAACAGCACCGGTGTAGCTAAATACATTGATCTTTCTAGCATGAGGTCGACAGAGCAATGAACCACTTGCAAACCTTTTATGTGTTCTTATGTATGGTGTACCGCTTCTGAAACAAAGGCATCATAAACATAAAACTATTTTGATAGAGATTCAGGTCTGCGATAATACAGAACATGACCAAATCAAGGTCAATCGAGTCTGATATATCCTGTAGATCGTCCTACGCCGCTGCTGGTTCGCGGTATCAATACCAGTAATCAAAATCAACGTGAAGAATGACTCTATGATCATAGGAGGAACATTGCAGATAAGTTGACCCAGCTCATTCCAGCGCAGAATGCTAGCAGCGATGATCATGATGATGATGGAAATGAGAAATAGCAGGACCGAGATCTCGTGCGAAAAGACATGCCCAATGCCAGCTGAGATGCGGCTCATATGATCAACATCCTCCTCACTAGGCTCGGGTGTGAAATTGGTCAACCCAGCAAGACGCAAAAGATGTTGATCCGTAGCACATTGCTCTTGGAATAGATGATCCTCGAGTCTGCTACGATCGAAGCATAGATTCCGCAAGACACAACCATCGTTCATGCCGACAAGACCTGTATAAGTCCCAAGAAGCAACCACCAACTGGCATCAAAATGCATGAGTGGTCCAAGCACTGCCCAAAGCACGAGCGTGAATGCCAGTATAGCGATACCAGAAAGCGTACCAACCAGATCAGCATAGAAGTCGATGCAGCGTTGGAGTTTGGTGATATGCGGTGCTGGTATTACTGAAATTTCATGATCGATGTCATCTGCAGTAAGAGTTCTCAAGCTGTACTCGAGCTGCTCATCCGCAAGATCGATCAAACCCAGACATTTTTGCATGTATTTGTTATGTTGCTCGCGATTGTAGGCTATAAATGACAAGCCAAAGATCAAGAGAGCTGCGGTCCCAGTATTGATGTAGAAGAACCACTCATTGGACCAGCCACAGTAGTGACCAAAAGCAAGCCAGATGATTATCCCAATCCAGAAGAGACCGACAGTGACAACATGACCAAGACAATGGACCAGATATCTGCACCAACGAGCAAGTCGACTTTCTGATGGAAGCTCGGTTTCCGGAAGTGATCCAACTTCACTTCTGCTCTTCGCTCTGGTCCGTGCTGCTGATGCAAGTGTCTGCAGCATCGTATGGTGGCTGACCGAGCGAGACTTCAGGATTCACACGACAGTCAGAGCGTCATTATGGCTGTTCAATTGTTGCCGCACAAGCAAAGCATCGAAGATCAGACTCAAGACTGACTGAACATCCGATATGCCAACCTGCCAGGCAGATATCTGAGAGTATCTAATGCCAAGAAGAGCCCAAGTCAAGAGACATGCCAGGATAAGGAATGTTGCTATGCCAGAGCCAGAAAATGAAACCACCTGATCCAGCCATCTATCGAGCAATTTTTTCTCCGTGCTTGATGCAGAGTCTGTTTGGACCAATGGCGAGGCCTTCTCTGATGAATGTTGTATCGACAGGAAAAATTTTGGTGAAATGTACGTGGCTTTGACTCTTAGCTCTCTTCGTGCACCGAAGGAAGAGAGGAACGACATTAAGCGATTCATGCTGATGTTCTTGTATTTTAGAGCGACGACGGCAGGCAGATTGCATCGGCAACAATCAGATCTGGTACATCATCAGCTTCTGCATTTTGCAGAGGATATAACGGTAAGAGATGTGGTCACTATAAGACCAAGGCTTGTCGAGTGATAAGATAATCTCAAAGACCACTTGTGGGCGACAATCTTATAAGATATGATTTTTGATCAGTGCCGGCCAATACCCGATCAAGGTTCCGCCCAGATCCGAGAATAAGATATACCGCTCTGGGACGCGTATGCGCTTGGGAAGCCAGGGAACTATACGAGCTTTAAGCTTTTTCTAATCGCCCAGCGACAGCAGTTCAAAGATATTCCCGTACCCGAACCAAACGAGATCGAGTGTCGCATTCAGGGCGCGTGTTCGAGTACGTATGACGAACTGAGCTGGCTCGACTTTGCAACAGTACCTGATGGAACTGAGTTCTAAGAGAAATTATATGTTTCAATGCAAATTCTGCCTGTGTGAACAATTGAATGCTACAGTCACGAAGGTCTTTGTCTAGCCGAGAAAGAAGCCAGAAATCTGTAACGTCCACAAGGGAGCCATTCCATGTAGCATGACGAATGCTTCCAGGGAGCGAAGACCCGGCAGGCCGCCGAATAAGACAATTATGGGCCCTCGATCTGTTGGGGGTAATATGAACCTGTACGATGCTAGCGGGCCCTCCATACAGCTTGTGATCACTCCTTTGTGACTGGTTCGATCTTGACAGGAGGTCAGTAGTTGACATCTATTCAACCTACGTTTCTGTTACTGGCCGTTTCTCTCAACAGTGAAATCAGAGCGACAACAAGACCCAACCCCGAGAGTCCCATGGCCAGGTAGAGAGCTCCGTGATATCCTTTCGAAACGTCATTGCCGCCTTGGTTCACGTTACGCTCGATTGTGCCAGCGATGCCTAGGCTCAACGAGATTGAGTAATTCACCACTGTGTTGACGACCGATGCAGCCATGCCCTGTTGCTCTCGAGGCATGCTATTGCTCAACAGTATAGTGCCAGACGGAAAGGACATATCCTGTATGCATATTAGCACAGCACTTACTCGATGACTAAATCGCAGCTTACCATTCCCCAAGGCATGATGATATTGGCGATGAAAGCCTGTGCCCAGTAATTTTGTTCAATTGACATGAACGCGACAAGTGTGGAGCCGACAAAGAAGGCCGCCATAGCTATGAGCATGATCATGATGGGTTTGACTCTGGCCAAGAGAAATCCGGTAGTCATCGCTGCACACAATCCCGAAACCGCAATAGGTGCATACCATGCACAAGCTAGTAAAGGCGTCGCATGTCGTAACACTTCGAAGATCTGCCAGGAATAATACACCCAAATGCCGAAACATCCCCAGCCAACCGCAAGACAGGCAAGAATGTAAAGTGTCGGAACGGCAAACTTTCTGAGCTCCAGCAGGGGATGTGACACTTTGTGTTCAATGTAGACGAATAAACCAAGCAGGAGAACCCCGAGTACTAGGAAGACGTAGGTGTAGGGTTCTTGCCATCCAACAACTCCAGCTTGATTCCAGGCAACATTCAGAAACATGAGACCGGCGACCCCCACTGTGGTGCCCCAAATATCAAATCTCTCTTTTGGAATTGGCCAGGTGATTGGATCGTCGGACGGTATGACCATGAAGCTTGCTCCCGAAAGTAGGATGCAATATATGCAGAGTATCCAATATCCCCAAGGCCACCAAGCTAGCTGCGCAAGCATACTGGAAAACACAGCTCCAAGGAGGAAGCCACCAGGCGCTGTCGCACCGAATATACTGAAGACCATATCTTTACGCCTGCCAGGTGGATATGTTCGGCCCAGAATTGCAAGGGCATTCGGAAGAAGTACCGCCGGTCCCATCCCTTGTAACGCTCGACAGACGTCGAAGAAGATTTGATCAGAGTACACGGCAACCCCAGCGAACAGTGACCAGAGGGCAAACCACAGCCAACCCGCTATGAACATCCTTCGGTGTCCGAATAAATCTCCTAGACGTCCTGCAAACAGTATGAAGGAGCCAACAGTCAGACTGTAAGCTGCTGGAAACCAGGACAACTGCGCGTTAGAGGCGCCAAAGCTATCGCCAATTATGTGAAGGGGAGCGATAGAGATACCCAGTCCCGCTTGGGTGAGTAGCTGCGCATTGCAGACCACGGCCACGAATATCACTTCCTGACCCAGCTTGAGAAAAGGGGCGTTCCCTCCAGATGTGCTTCGATCGGATGAGCCCTTCTCTAACTCATTGCTCTGACTGGAGTCCTGGTGTGGAAAATCCATCGATTGAATTTGAATGGGTCACAAGTTCTGAACCGGAGGTAAGCTACCAAAGAAGGAGAGTGTCGATATGCCGTAATAAAGCTACGGATTGTCCTCAGGCTGGTCTTGCAGGCTGGCTTGAATGTTGGGTACTTAGTTGGTTCGATGTGACCACTGAGTTGACGATAGCTCGACTGATTATAAGATAATCATCTCTTGCCCTCGCTGAGTATGTCTTTATTCATGTCATGACCTCTCACCAATGGATGTGCGGACCCCGCGGCCCGTGTGGACCTTGCGGGCCGTGAGGAACGTACGTCCCGGATTCGTCCGCCCACGAACACCACACCACCCAGAAATGGGTGATTTCTTGTGTCCATGTGTATTTGTCGCAGAGAGATAATCGGGTTATAGGGGTCTACTGTGAGCCATAAATCTGGAGCTCGTAATCACCCACGATCCACCAACATCCTCTCATCCCCCGAAATTGCCTGGATCTCTGCTTAGCAACAAAGAACAATGGACGCTACTACAGACAATCTGATGCGGGCACTGCAGTGTCGGAAAGCCAACGTGCTTGCCATCAACACAATCCCCAAGCCATTACCCGGACCTGGACAAGTTCTCATCAAGGTCCTTGCGACCAGCGTCAACCCAAGTGATGTTCTCAATTGCGTCGGCGGGTTTAATCATACTACCTTCCCTCGAATTCCAGGACGCGACTATGCAGGAATAGTCGTAGCTGGATCTGAGCATTTGCTTGGCTTGGAAGTCTTTGGCACTAGTGGACGATTCTTTGGGTTTACCACTGACGGCGCTCATGCTCAATATTGCGTGGTTGCCGAGGAAGATGTAGCGCGAAAACCAAGCATTGTGTCGTTCATCCAAGCGGCCACTATCGGTGTTCCTTTCATCACAGCCTCACTCATGCTTAGACGAGCACATGTACAAGCCAACGAAGTTGTTCTGGTGATTGGTGCCACGGGCAATGTTGGCTCTGCAGCTGTCCAGTTGGCCATGACCAAAGGCTGCACTGTCTTGACAGCCTCGCGTGGTGACACTACTGATATCAACCTCATATCTGACCCTGGGCTCAGAAAGGTGATGGAGACGAGCGCAGGCGAGGGAGTTGATCTGGTTGTCGACACTACTGGAGACACTAGTCTCTTGAAAGCAGCTCTTCGTGTTCTGGGTCAGGGCGGCAGGCTTGCGATCGTTTCTGCTCCGCGCACTGGAGATACTGACTTCACTTTTGACCTGAAGAGCCTGTACCGGAAAGAGCAATCTATCATCGGCAGTAACTCACTCAGCTATTTGTCGAGTGATATGGCAGCCGAGATGAGGCGTCTCGTGCCTCTGTTTGAGAGTGGTCAGCTCAAAGCTCCCGCTGAGGAGAGCCTCAGAATTGTGGGACTTGATGATGCTCTGACTGCGTACGAAGCGGTCAAGAACAAGGCACGTGGAAAGTTTGTGATCAAACCGTTCATGTAAGCCTCAACATCTTGTCCAGGCTATAATTGTGTAAATAGGTTGTACTGGCCATCCTTGTATCTTCGAAGCTGCTTCAAATGTAGATTGTGCAGATAGAAATTCCAATGGTTTCACATCTGAAGCTATGCCTAAATCCTGCGATGGGTATGTGTTCTTGTCAGGTCTTGATTCGGTCGACAATCGAGTCGAGAAGGAGAAGGGGATGTCGTAGCACATAGTTCGGGCAGAATCGGAAGTCAGCGCCCCGTGCTTTCTCCTCCCCTCAGTCATTGATAACGCCGCTGTCTACCATCACTGTCACGTCTTCCCGGAACATCCATGCCAATCGCCTGAACCACGCAAAGAATCACAATCGATCTCCCTTGAAAGGACTTGTGCCTATGTCGCGGAAATTCATAGAGATGTCATCTAAACCTCAAGGCCGCCAACGAGTGCGAAAAGCATGTGTATCGTGTCAGCAGAAAAAACGAAAGTGCAATGGATTCGAACCTTGCGATACTTGTGAAGGCTACGGCTTTGACTGCTACTATAACTCGGCGACATATCATAATGGAGCGGACACGTGAGTGATGCCAACTGGACTCTTCGGTCGCTCGCTCATTCCGGTCCCACAGAGGACAGCCCAGAACAGGTAGCAAAAGAGCATTAAGCGCAATCGCCATACAGGATTTGGAAACAGCAAACACACTACAACCTAACAAGAACAAGCGCGCCAGACAGGATTTCCTGGAGCCAAGAAAGTCTCGATATGTCGGTACTGGATCGGCTATTTCGTTCCCTTTGAAATTGAGTCGCGACATGGGAGCTGTCGGCCTGCCCAGGTTACATTCTTACGCTTGGAATGCCGGCACACGACCAGAAGCCATCCCATCTTTCACTCCTCAAGTTGTGCAGTTGATACGATATGAGGAACTTCATGCTCTAACATCTGTTTACTTCGAAGTGGTGCATCCAGTATTTGGTGTGATCGACAAAGCAGATTTTAGTCTTCGATGTGTCGAACACTGGATGGGTGATAGCCAGTCGCTTGGATTCGACGCTCTTGTTGGCATGGTCTGCGCCTTGGGATCTCTTTTCGCCGGAGATGATCGGTTTGCAGGAGAGGCCGATCTGGTGAAAGCTACAAAGCTACTGCTCGACAATATCAGCATGATACATGGTGCAACTGAAGACTTTGTCGTAGCATGGATTTTGCGTTCACTCTACCTGCGAGCGACAACGCGTCCACATGCTTCCTGGATGTCGACATGCTCAACGATGCACATAATCGAGGCTGTTGGTCTGCATCGCGAGCTCGGAACAATGTTCATCTCCAGCAGCTCTAGTCATGCTGCAACACCATATCAGAAATCTCCAGAACTTCGCCGTAGAATCTTCTGGACTGCAAAAGCCTTGAACTTGATGTTTAGTTGTGAGTACGGACGTTCGCCGATTCACCTCGACGACGCGAATTGCGAGAAACCTGCTGCTGCTGATGGTCATTACACAAGTGAGCTTATATCACTTGCCAAGCTCATGTCGATCGATAGGATGACCAGCAGAGAGCTGCTTGAAGAGTCTTTGTCGACGTTATCAGAAGCCTGTAGCAGCTGCCCCCTTCTTACGTTGATGCGAGCAAATGCAAGCTTTTGCATCTATCGGAGGCTATGCCTGTACGATCCACGACCCTCTAGCGAGCACCTAGCGAAAGTCATGAAGATGGGTGAAGATGCTCTTCTGCCTGCACAAACTCTGGCTCTCTCCAATCAAGTTTGGTGGGACGTATTGACGGTACCTTTTCATTACATCTGTGTCCTACTCCATATCAACTCGCTTGAGAGCTTGAGTCTACTATCGACGGGCATGTCAAGTCTCAGAAAGATCACTCGGCATCTGGGCACTCACATGGCCAAAGAGGCAGAGTTGACCGCGAATTCTTTGATCAGTGTTTGCTCACAGAGAAAAGAGAAAGAGATGCACTGCTTGACTTCACAACTCTCGAGTAGATCGGAAGGCGTCTTGTGTCAACCAGATCTGGAGATCCAGACTGACGGCCTACAAACCCACACACCGCTTCCCGAATGGCTTTATGACATCGTTCCCGGTTGGGATTATCTACCAAATCATGACAGTTGAGAGTACGTCTTGCAAGACAGCATATTGATTAAGCATACGAAAGAGTTACTTCTAGGCGATCAAGGTTGAAGAACTCATTTTCACCGCGCCCCTTGCTACGAGACAGCAAAGCCACATCCATACGACCTCAAGAATCTACTTCATGATCTCGCCTCCTCAACTACCACTCCCAGCATCTCTTAAAATCATATCTGCAATCCTCTCAGCTAGCATATACACCGTAGCTTGCGGCTGACCAGGCGGCAACAACGGAAACGCACTAATATCCACAACTCTCAATCCTTCCACTCCAATCACTTTTGCCTCAGAATCCACAACAGCCATACTGTCATTCCTCATCCCCATCTTACACGTGCAACTCGCATGGAATAATGGGATTATGCTTTGTCTCAGATACGTAAGTATCTCAGCGTCAGTGGTGATGTTGGAGCCAGGCACGACTTCAGCGATGATGGCACGCTGCAAGGATGCTGTGGCAGCCAAGCGGCGGGTAAATTTGAATGCGGCGATGGCAAGGTCTTGGTCCCGGGGATCTTCCAGTAGTGCTGGATTGATTATGGGTGCATCTGCCATGTCTGGAGATCTGATTGTGACGTTGCCTCTGCTGAACGTGGCAATCAATCCGAACACGATACTGGCGAAATTGTGGATGCCATCGTTGGGACCGGCAGCAAAAGTCATACTGTTGTAATTCTGCTTGTCCGTGTTTGATGTTCGAGACAATTCGGGTTCAAGCATACACCTCGACCTTGGGCCTGTCTGAAGGGAAATTGGTTTGGAAGGCATTTTGTGCTGTGGAGCTGATGTTCACCACTGACAGATTTGACGCTTTCAGAAAACCGACAAAGTCGGCACCGGCATCACCTTTGCAGTGCATGAGCATGGTTTCCAAAGATGATGACCCTTCAGTAACGTTACTCACTCGTCAACATGCCAGACCGGCGCGTGATGAAAGCTTCATTCTCTTCGTAGATGCGATTGGGATCATTTGTTAGGACTGAAGGTGTTTCAACGTTGACCTCGTAAGATAGCGCTGTACCGTGTCAGTCAATCGAGGATTCACACTTGCAAACACATTACTCACTGCCTATCGGATTGTCCTGTTGTCTCGTTAGCGGCTGGCAAGATAGTAGCACAACAAGATCAACTGACCCACATGTTCTGACCCACGCCTTGGCGATCTGCAACAATAGGAATATGGTATTGATCCAGGGTTTGTCGTGGTCCAACCCCCGACACCATGAGTAGCTGAGGCGACTGGAAGACTCCTGCGGACAAAATGATCTCGCGGGTTGCGTTGATTTGAAATTGCATACCTGCGACATCGACCAAAACACTTGTTGCCCTCTTGTTTGCATCAAACAGAATGCGCTTGACCAACGCGTGTGTATACACCACTATATTAGTACCTGCAAGAGCTTCGTGGAGGAATGACGTTTCGGAAGAGCTGCGCGTTTGCTCAGTAGGATTTATGGTCAACGAAACACTTGCATAACCATCAAGATGGCCTGAACTGATACCCTGTTCCAGAAAAGGAATGCCGACTTCTTCATAGCCTTCTGGGAAGAAGGAAGACCAAGATTGAGCAAAGTTTGGATAGCTGACTTGAAGAGGACCACCGTTCTTCGAGAATGACACGGTATCGTCGGCAAGACCAACCGATGCGTTGGCCGCTCGCAGGATCGAATTGGCAGGCATGAAGTGTGGTGACTTGAGATAGTAAGGATAGACACCATCCCAATTCCAGGTGCCGTCGCCAACGTCATTCGCCCATTTCTCAAATGTGCCAACAGTACCTCTGTTGTAGACCATGTAGTTACGTGCACTGGATCCGCCGAGACACTTTCCCCGTACATAGTGGATGGTGCGATTGAATAGCGCAGTCTGTGGTGTAGTAAGGAACTTCCAATCGATGAGGCCATTAACGGTTGATAGATCTGGATCTGTACTGGCTGATTGGAAATCATACTTGGATCAGAGTCAGCAGACCACACCGACAGTGATAATGTACTGTGCAATGGCATACCCATGGAATTTGACTGAAATTGCCGTTGTCAATTTCGTAGAAACTTTCTGCTTCGATGACTGCGACGGAATAACTTCCATGTTGAGCGAGGCGAGTAGCTACTGTCAATCCTGCTGTGCCACCTGCAACGTCTTAACTCGTCCAGTGGAGATTTCATGTGAGCGATACATACCCCCTATCACGACATAGTCGTACGAAGCGTTGATTCCTGATGAAGAATACCCGTCAAAGATTATACATCGTCTGCTCGGCAATTCACCTACCCTACCAGGAACCCCGTAACTCGACCCTAGCAAGCCCCCATATCTGAGCAAGGATGCTGCCGCGGATGATTCACCAAGAAAGAAGAGTATTGCGATATGGGAACACAGCATCATTAGGTCTTTTGTCAAAGGCACCGATGTCTGCGAAGCTCAATATGTGTGACCGCAAGAAGTCTAGGCAGAATATGCAAGCTTATATATCTTGAGTGCTTGAGTGCGATGATCTCGCTGGCAGCGGGGTTTCAATTGCCATTCGTGACTATCAGCCTCGGCGGTCAAAGATGTGCTGTCTTGGCCCCCAAAGCCGCTGTACGCTGCAGTCAGCAGAAGTCCCCCAGACCAGAATATCGGTGCAACGTGTGCGATCGAGATACTGTATGGTCAATGGTGAAGAACTGCTTCGAGTCGTACCGCCACGGTGCATCGTGACTTTCGCACGCTGATTGCGGTATTTCTGCTATTCTCTTGTATCAAGGATTGGAGGCCGAGGGTCCAGCTGCGACTGTATGCAAGGCTGTGCGGGCCATGCAGCATGAACCCGTTTTGGGAAAGTGTTTTCGAGGCTTGTACTTTTTAGCTGCAGCACTGTTCGAGACTACGCATGATGGGGTTCAAGAGCAGAAGTCAGAAATGTAAACCATATGTGAGTAAGTTGTGTAGCAGTGTGTCTACCAAAAGGGCCTGGCCTGATGTTTGGCTACACCAGTCGTAGGCTTTGTGCCTGATTCCTTGCTGATGTGCAGATCCTCTTAGCCTTGTGCACCAAATACCTGAACCCCCAACCTCTCCCAAAACCTTTGGTACTTGTTGATGTCTATACTTCCTTCGGGCTGTCAATCAGACTGCTTCACCACGTGGAAGTGTATGAAAGACCAGAGAACGTACATCCCCAATCCGGAGAAGGAAAGCTTCCTATCAGTCTTGTAGAACGGATGATCGCGATCGTCCGCGCAGAGACGACCAAGTTGAATCTCCCTCGCTTCGAATACTCACAGATCGAAGCTCGAATCCTCCCTTGGGCTGCAGAAGCTGCTTGGCAGCCTCCTCCTCGGGGACCTCACCCCGAACAACATGTTCAAAAGTAATCGTTGCTTCTGCTAGATGCTTTGGCAGTGGATCCTGACCGACGGCATCTTCTCTGGATATCTCCGTGCTGACTGAAGCATGTGAGGTAGTGCGTAAGACTGTAGAGAACGAGGATGAGTATGAGAGGCCGCTGGAGAAGATCGCAATGCAGCCTAGAACGACTATGATCGTGGCCATCAGGACAGCCGTACCATAAGCAAGCCCCAACATCGCCGCTGCATATTCATATTGACTGTAATATGTGACTATCGTGATATTCACGGGTGGAGGGTAGTGAGGAGTATCATGGTCAGGCCTGTGACATGTGATTAGTGTGTGTGACTTCCGAGCTGAGAAACAGAAGCGATGAGGGGGAGGAAATGACTGACTGGAGTAAAGGTGAGCTCATCAAGCTCATAGTGAGGTTTTGAAACATTAACTCTAAAATTGGGCGTAAATTCGATGTGCTGTTCGCTTGCAATTCGACCGTGACACCGGGCCAGTACTGTTGGCCAAGCGTATCGAGAGCCCGCACACCCCCAGCGGTCTGGTTTCGCAGTGCGAAAAGCTCTTGTGTGGTACCTAGAGCAGTGTTCATGGCTTCCGTCCCGGTGACGAGACCATTTGGGGTTGGGGCAGAGACATAACCTCTTATAATGTTCATAAAAGCCTCCAAAACTGCCGTATATGTATAGTCTTGGATGAAGGCACTGTCTAAGCGAGAATCAGTGCATCCGACCCGCTCAGGATGTGAGTTAGGATGAGAGACGTTTCTGCCAGAGGGCGTCGTTGTGACCGTCAGGTCTCGCACGCCGTTCGTCCAGTTGTACATGGCTGAGTACGTCGCGTTCACCAAGCTACATTGGACTATCGTGGCCTTCGCAATATAGTCCCAGTTCGGGTCCATCTGATTCATCATTCTCGGGCTGCGAAAACTAGGAAGAGAGGCAACAAACAAAACCTCAGGTGCACCAGGAGTATGTTGTGGTCCTATCGCAATTGGCTGTAACAGATGTTGCCCGTTGCTTTGCAGACCCGATTGGAAAGGCATTGAACTTGTATCCGTCGGGGACCAAGCTAGGTAAGCATACGGTATGCCATCATCCCAAGAGGTGGTATTGACGTTGTCAAGAATTTCACCACGCAGAGGATCGCGCACGTCGCTGCACTGCAACACAGGCCCACCGAACTGCTGTGTATAAGAGACATTTGGTCGGTTTCCTGGTGCGTTTATGGACAGTACGGCGCCTTGACCTACGGCTGCTGTCGCGAATCGCTGAACTTCGAACGAGGTTCCTCTGTACTCGTAGGTACAACCATCCGAGTTCAAGACGATCCATGGAAAGTTCTGGCTATTGAAGTCGATGGAGGGAACATCGGCCAGATCATATGAAGTTCGAGAAGCGGTTATGACCGTCAAGGTTGCGGGTGTGAAGATCGAAGCGATAGGTAGTAGCCTGGTCATGGTCAAATCTGGGCCTTTCGTACGTATTACCCAAGAGCGGAGCTTACCAGATCGCGATCGCAAGAGGAAATAGTAGAGCTGACTTGCTCCAAGCCCCAAGGTTCAGAAATCCAAGAGGATTTGTCAAAATGCCACTGATCGCGTCAACGATATTCACTTCTGTCGTGCTGGCCTTCAACGCGCGCCAGACGATTTGACAGTAGGCTGTTGTGACCGTGATGGATAATGAGGTTCTGAAGAAGGATGCGAGGGTGTTGCCCACAGCGGTATTGAACTTCTGAGACGGCACGCCAGCCCATGAACCAATTGCTAATTCGTTCTCAGTCGACACTGGTTGACCAGCAAGGCTCTGGTAGTAGAAGTGATGACCAACAGCAAACGCGGTGCTGGCGAGGAGTGAGCCATAGAGAATGCAAAGAGCTCTCCAATGAACAAGAACTGAATTCAGCATATTTGTTATACAGTAGATCAGATTTCAGAGGTTTTGTTGAGACTGCTCGGTGAAGGAATATCATGCTGTACTTATCGCACTCCACCTGGATCCCGAGCATGAATAGCGACGCCTTCTTATGCAAGGTCCTGCGGGCTGTGCCACATGCGCTCGATGTTTCATATCGTCGGATCCCATCGTCTTTGTCTATCAAGAGTCAAGTCTTTTCTGAGCGACTCTCTTGTAGTCAGTGGATTCCCGTTGTTGCATTTTGAAACAGCTGACTTCAGACTCGAGAGAGCAGTTTGGTGCAGGCGAAGTATGCTTGCTTGACGCCACACCATTCTTGTTTTGATCCAGTTTCTATCTTTATCGCTGCTTCGGAGAGTACCCCCACTCGAGAATTCAAGGCGCCCGTGGCTTGCAGGATTGCTCTTTTCGACCTGATGAGATCTGCGACTCGCCGGCATCCTTGAGCTCCAGGACGGGACACAGTGCAGTTACCCAAGCCAGAAAGCTCTCTTTTGACAACCTCCCGGTGACGACATGATGGCAAGGAGCGAATGAGAAGATGAATCGTAATGTTGTTGATGAGAATGTCGACCAAGGTCAACAAGCTGGGGTGATTCAAGGGCTTTCACAGTTCGCTCCTTCCCGCATCTCCTGGTTTCCTCCAAATGATGTATCACACGACCTAGACCTAGGCGCTTGCAAGTCCAAGTCCGTGGGACCCAAGCGCTGATCAAAAAAGGACGCTCTCAATGTCACTGTCTGGGCGGCTTCGCGGGGTTGACCTCTTATGTTTAAGACCTTATCAGTCCACCCAAAACTGGTTTTCCAAGATCCTGAATAGACAAATTTGAAGAGCATACCCAGAAGTGGATTTCCTCCAAATCGCATAAAAATCGAAACTGTGTACGGAATGTTATATGTAGTCGAAGTGATGTCGAAGTTTGTAAGAGCGCACAATTTTGATCAGCGCTTCTTGGGACCGCATTCAAAGCGCAGCCACAGTGGGGGTGGCTGCTCACAACAAGGCTGAGCTGAAATATGATATACCCGTTTGGGCGGATCCATGCATTCCCACACTGAGGGGAGTCCGATGCGATCGGATAGTGTTGCGAAACGTGTATAAGCACAATATCTATCGTAGAAAAACATCTTGTACCGACCACCGCGTACATCCTAACGCCATATCCCGTTCGTCCATGTCTAGAATACACTTCATCTATCAATCAAGGCTGGTGAGCAGGAGCAATAGGACTAGCCTCCACACCCACAACCTTCGGATCTGCTTCACCAGTAGCCTCCTCTGGCTTGACTTGCGGCGCAAATGCCTGAGGAACCTTCTCACTTAGATTGACAGCCAAGAAGCTCTTGGGCAACTTGACAGTGTGGAACTTGGCTCTTAGGGTCTCGAGAACCTCCTTCCACTCAACGTGTGGTGTTAAACTTCTGCGGGGAGTGCAGCCGATACAATGCTTGCTGTCCAGTTGAACGTCCAGAGGGTCGAAAGCGTGGCAACCAGGCGAAAGAGTGATACGAATGCTGTAGTTGAAGTTGCTGCCTTCTGGGTCATCGGTGCTGGCTTCGTTTTGTGATTCGTACAATTCGAAGCCGATTTGAGAAAGATAGTCGAGTTCGGGGATGGCATTGCGGGCTATCTTGGTCTGGACGCCACCTTCAAGAATGGAGTTGAGAAGGGTGTAGATGTGCGACTCTTTGGTAAAGTAGATGAACGATTTGGCATCCTCCGATGCTTGCACTGTGATCTTTGTGTTAGCGAGTGACGTGCTTGTGAATAAGTAAATTGCAACTTACTTTCTTCCAAATCCGTCACAATCTCCTTGAGCAATGGCAGACTTGTCAAAAGACCAATCTCCAATTTCTCGCTGTTCAGCATACCATATTCTTGCGGACCGATGTAGTCAAACAGGACTTTCGAGAAGCGGTAAAGCTCTCTCAGCTTTTCTAGACGTACATCAACCTTGGCCTTTGACTCTGGAAGGTCTCTGTTGCCAGTGAAGAGTGAGAAATAAGACTCGGGATGACCAGAGACACGGTTAGCCAGAGTAGCTTGAGCATTTTTGAATGTGGTCTGAGCATTCTCTGAGCGTCTTCTCAAGCTTGCGATGGACAGCTTGCCCTTGTCATCACCGTTGTCCTCTTCTTGTTGTTTGTTAGGCTGAGTATCACTGGGAACAGCAGACTGATCCTTGGTAGGTGCAAGACCCTCGTGAGTTTGACCAAACTCTTCTCTCAGAGCTGCAGAGGCAGTGCGCTTCAGAGTATCGGGACGTTCGTGGTCGTCATCAACCATATCGCTGCTGGGAGTGAATACCCATTCGAGGAATTGTCGGTTGTGGAGAGCATCGAATTTCATCGTGTCGTAGAGTTCACTGATCTTACTAGGGTCAACCTTCTCAGCATCGGTAAATTCCTTGAATAGCTTCTCCCAACGTTCCTTGAACAATGAAGCATCTTCACCGCAGCACCATCTAGATTGGATCTGTTTAGGATCGACCCATTCTGGAGTAGTCTCTGCAAGGCTGGCGGAAGAGGCGTTGCTAGGAGGACTCTTGATGGGTGCGCCTCCTTCACCTTGAGGACGAAGCTTGGTGAAGTTTTGAAGCATGACGCGGCGGTGGAACTTCATCAGTTCGACAACACTGCGGACGACCAAGTAAGGCTCAGGAGTGCCATCCTTGGGCCAAGCAAATTGGTCGGGTGCTTGCTTGCCCTGGCGGAGGAGACCCTTCAACTTCTTCTTGACCTTGTCCATCTCGTCCTTGGCTGCATTCGAGTCATCAAGTAGATCCTTGCGAACAGAAATGAAGTTGGGGTCAAGCTCCTTCTGATCCAAGAACGCAGCAGTGAAGATCTGGGCACTGGTCGACACACGGCGCTCGGAGGATGAGAAGACACGGACGTCTCTGAGAGCATCCTTGTTCATCAAGAGCAGATCGTTACGCATATTCTCACCAAGATCCTGGGCTTGGTAACGAGCAGAGTGGGTAGGCTCACCACCCCACTTCATGACGAGCTGCAACTTGTCAAGCACAAGATTGTTCTCGGCAGCGGAGATTCTAGACAGAGTAACGTCTGCCATGGAGTCTCCACGCGAGTGGTTGGCATCGTTACCCTGCAGAGGAGTAGGCTTTGGCTTGGCGTTGCCGTCCTTATCAACTTCGACCTTGTCCTGAAGTTCGGCAGGCAACTCCTCCTGTCTTCTCTTGCGGAACATGGGCTTGATTTGGACCTTTGTGCCGGGCCAGCTTCCCTTCTTGTCAAGAGCATTTGAAAGTGTCCGGAGTTTAGTCTGATCTTCCTCACCTTCGACCAAGGCTTGCTGAACAGCCTCTTGCACACTCCTCAGAGCAGCCTCTCCGACGAGCAACACTTCCTCACGATGACCTTTGAGCAAATCGACGAAAGGCTTCGTGTGGAAGGTGAACTTGAATTTTTGCTTGGGTGTACGATCGGCATGACGAATGACAGAAACCATACCCTTGAGCTTCCACTGCGACTTGGAGGCAGGTGCGGGTACTGGCTCAGTGTGTTCCTCGGCTTCGTGAATGGATTCTTGCAGGCTTTGGTACTGATGGTTCTCGTCAGGCACGGCAGGTGGTGGTAGTTGGCTGTCCTGAGGAATGCCAGGGCTTCGAGGCATTGGAAGATTTCCAAAGCTTGGCGGAGAAGTGATGGGAGATGGGAGTTGAGATATCTCAGGGGAGCCAGGCTTCTTGTTGCCCATTTCCCTCAGTCTGTTGGCACTGGCAGAGCGGAAGACTGACTTCAGATGGCTGCGATGACTGGAGAGAGTGCTCTTGCGATGTGTACCAGGAGCCTCTCTTTCGTAGTTGTCTTCAACGGCAGAGGTAGGAGCAGACGTGTGTTGCTGCTGTTGCTTGTTGTTGTCAAGTCTGGTCTTTTCCTTGATAAACATGCTCTTCAGAATGTTGGCGCACTTGTCATAGTAGTCGTTGTTGTCTTTGACAAAACTCCAGCCGTTGACATCGATAACGTAGCTCTTGTCGCCCACACGCAGCAGATCAAAGCCACAAACGCGCTGTCCGAAACCATCGGCGATTCTCGAGGCCATGCCAGCTTCCTCCTTGCTAAGGCTGGTAACATAGCGAACCTCCTTGCCATTGGGGTTGCGCTTGACAACACCATCAACGACGGGAGATTTTCTGGTTTCAGCATGGCAGTAGTCGAGGCCGACAGTGTAAGCCTTCACATCCTCCGCATTCTCGACCTTGAGGAACTGCTCGTAGATGTAGCTGCTTCCAGGCTCGGTGATAGATCTGGGCACTGTCAAAGTCTCATCCTTTTCCGAGCTCTTGTTGTTGACCTTGCGGAACAGTCTCCTACCACCTCCACCTTGGCTCTTCGGATAGTAAATGTGGATGTTGTGATCTTCTCCGTCGGTAGGCTTTTCGACAAAAGGTTTTGTCAACTTCTTGCCGTCAACACAGATTGTGTCGCCGTCGTCCAGCAATTCGACGACAGGGTTTGCTGTTTGTTGTGATTCGGTCTCTGGCTGGCTGCCTAATACTGGGAATCGGATACCAGTCTTTTCAAAGCATCGCTGGGCAATATCGGCGGATTGAACCTTGGGACCTCCGTCGCGGTTGACTTCGACACGCTCGGGCGTGGGCACGTTGAGCTTTGTGAGGATTTGTAAACAGATGCGGCGGTCCCAGAGAATTGTCTGCATGGGCAGGTCGTTGACACAGAAAGGTTTGCGCAGTTTGGCGTATGCTATAGCCTTGTCCAGCGGAAACCCATCGGAGAAGAAGGAGATGAGGAAGTCGCAGATGGGCCAGTTCTCGACATCTTCATCCAGAATGACCTTGTCACCAAAGACAATGACCTCGAATTCACCCTCCTTGATCAGTCTGTTGAGAATGTTGCGACTGGGCTTGCTTCTGGCCTTGCTATCCAGAGCGCAGACACCAATCTTGCCAATGGGTACAGGCTTGTCTTGTTCGGCACGTTCTGTGCTCGGGCTTGCGCTGTTGATTGTGCTGCTGCTGACTCTTCGAGATTGGGGAGTTCTGCCGCGAGGGTTTGCGTTTGAAGTGGGGGGAGCTTGGCGAGGGAAGGTGCCAAAGACGCTGGCTCTTGGAGAGGTTGTGGCCGAGGCAGGTTCTGAAGGGGTGGGCAGCGGGAGATCATTATCGCGGTCCATGGTGGCGGCGGGCGCCGAGTGTGGTTGATGTTGTAGGGAGGCGGGCAGCGAGAGGGAAGCAGAGTCGGATCTTGCTGGGGCTTGGATTGGTTAGAATGTGCAGATAAGAAGAATGTCAAGGCCAAGGGTTGCTTTTCTTGGGACGGTTGAGCACAAGCACAATGACGTGGAGTGGGAAGGGTCTTCAATGTTTGGGTGTTTTTGCGAGTCAAGGGCAGCTGAAAATCTGACGCACCATCTGTCTCGGAGCCAGCGACAGAGCTCGCAGTGGACACGGCGCCTCTGGCACGGTCGTACAGGGCAGAGCCCAATTGGTAGAGCGAAAAGGAAAGGCGGTTTGAGTCGTCGTTGTCTTGGCGGGGCACGGCGAGGTTCAGGTTGGGCTCGCTGTTGTTGTGCGTCTGGGTAGGAGTGGCATCAGCGTCGTCGATGACTGCAGACGAGTCTGGCGGACCGGATGAGGCCATCATGTGTTGGTGCAGGATGTGAGTGAGCAGATTGTGCTCGGAATGGGCTCTGGATGGCCGTCGTGAAGGCGGAGAACGATGGGGATTAGACTTTAACGGTTGTGACGGCGACGTGGGCGTGTGTACGGGCATGCTGATGCTCGCCCTCTTGACAGCGACGCTGCTGAGACGGGCATGGTCTGCTTCTGCATAGTGTGCTTTGTGGTCAAGCAGAGGCGAAGACAAAGCTCCCGACGAGCTCCTTCTTGATTGTTGGCTTCCATGACTGACGGTTCGATGCAAGGGCTCCATGAGCCTGCACCAGTTTTACCGCAGGACTGAGGACAAAAAATATAGGTACACACAGGAACTGGCGGAGAGGGACAGGAGTAATGGATAAGTGGATTAATATCTGCTAGATAAGTTCTAGAGAGGATATCACAGGATCTATCAGGCCAAAGAAAGCAGGAACGTGATTTATGGGTGGATTGTATGCAGCCTGCGCGTGACTGTGGCATGCTCATGGTCAGGGTCAGGGTCAGGGGAGCGACCCAAGAACCGTCGGACTTAGCGGCGTTTGCGTCTGACAGAGGCGGTCCAAGCGTCCAGAAATGTCGGCGTCGCATCTGAAGTTTTGGAGAAGCAGACGAGACTTTTTGTGACCGACTCGACTGGACATTCACACACGATGCCTGCCGCCGTCGCTACCAACGGCACACACGAGGGCCGCCAGGTCAAGCGCCAAAGGACCACCCAGAACGATGAGGCAGTCGTCAAGAGCCACAGGCAGCCCGGCTCTTCGCGACTTTTTGCGCCATACAGGGTACCTTCCTCTCTCACAGCCGCTCCTTCCCTCTGCGTTGCTGACTCTTTCCTTTTCCGCAGACTGTCGGTCTCGTGTCGCCCACCGCCGTCCCCTTCGCCAGCATCGCCCTCGGCAAAACAACCTTTCAGCTCACCACCTCGGTCGGTCGCAGTCTGCAGACCTACGATCTGCGCCGCGGTCTCAACCTCGTCTTCATCACTCGCCCGCAGACTCCCGAATTCATCACTGCAAGCATAGCCTACAAGGATCTGGTATTCGCAGCATGGGGTGGTCAATCGCAAGAGTCGGAACGCGGTGTCTGGATCTTCAAGAGAGGCAAGAAGGTCGCTGAGCTGGAAATGCCCGTCAACCACAAACACAACATCAACTCCTTCACCATCTTCGGTTCCTGGATCATCGGTGCCTGTGACAACCAAATCCTCGTCTGGAAGTCGTCCAACTACGAGCTCTACACCACCCTCCAGAGCATCACCGCTTCTTCCTTTACTGGCACCCTCAGCAGCATGCCCACCATGCTCAACAAGATTGTTGCTGGAAAGGACGATGGTACTGTCGAGATCTGGAACGTCTCAAGCGGCAAACTCGTCTACTCTCTGCTTCCTCCTGCCGCCGACTACGGTGCCGTCACCGCTCTCCAACCCACTCCCGCCCTCAACCTTCTCGCAATCGCCTACGAGTCCGGTCCTCTGATCATCCAGGATATCCAAGCAGACAAGAAGATCTTGCAGTTCAACGCAAGCGCTCACGGCACAAATGGTCCTTCCATCACATCAATCTCTTTCCGAACAGACGGCATGGGCGCAGGAGACGATGGTAAAAGAGCTGGTGTCATGGCTACTGCCTCCAACGAGAGCGGCGACGTGACCCTGTGGGATCTGAACAATGGCGGACGCAAGCAGGGTGTTCTTCGTGGCGCTCACGCTCCTCCTTCGTCCTCTTCGCCTGGTGGTGTTACAAAGATCGAATTCTTGCCTGGTCAGGCCATCATCGCTACCAGTGGTTTGGATAACAGCCTCAAGACCTGGATCTTTGACGAGAGCCCCTTCAACCCTGTACCCAGGATTTTGCACCAGCGCAGCGGCCACGGTGCTCCCGTGACTACTTTGGAATTCCTGCCTGCTGCTTCTGACGGTTCTGACGCCAGTGGAAAGTGGCTCCTCAGTACCAGCAAGGACCGCAGCTTGTGGGGCTGGAGTCTGAGACGTGATGGCCAGAGCACAGAACTTTCTCAGGGCAATGTGACCAAGAAGGCCAGAAAGCAGGGAATCCTCTCTTCAGAAGGCAGAGACACCATCGAGGCACTCAAGGCTCCTCCCATCACTTCCATCGCTTGTTCGCTTAACCGCGACGGTGGCATGGGCTCTATGCCTGGCAAATTCCCCATCTGGCAATCCGGCAAGGGCAAGACCAAGAACAGCACAGAAGCTACAAGCATGACTGGCTGGGAAAGTGTTGTCACCGCACACGAGGACGACAACAAGGCAAGAACATGGTTCTGGGGAAGAAAGAAGGCTGGCAGATGGGCTTTTGAGACACAAGACGGTGGCAACGTCAAGAGTGTTGCAGTTTCACCCTGTGGTACTTTTGCTCTGGTTGGATCTGAGAACGGTGGCATCGACATGTTCAACCTTCAATCTGGTGGTCACAGACAACGATACCCGGCACGACTCACTCCTGCTCAAGCACAACAACTTAAGCTCGATTTGGCCAAGGCAGAGGAAGCCATTGCTCCGGCAGCAGAGGCTAGCAAGAAGAAGTTCTACCGTGGTCAGGGCAAGCACACTGCGGCTGTCACTGGTCTGGCTGTTGACAACTTGAACCGCACCGTTATCAGCTGTAGCATCGATGGCAAGATCAAGTTCTGGGACTTTATGAGTGGAGCTCTCAAGCACGAGATCGACTGGTCTGGAGCTGTTCAAATCACAGGTCTGAAATTACATCGTGGATCAGAGCTTGCAGCCTTCACTTGCACTGACGGCTGTGTTCGTGTCGTCGATGTCACCACATTCAAGCTCATTCGTGAGCTCAGAATGTCACGATCGTCACAATCAAAAGCTTTCGACTTTGCCGACTTTGGCTTCTCTAATGACGGTCGCTGGGTCATGGCGGCAATTTCGTCTTTCGTTTGCGCTTGGGATCTCCCTACAGGACACTTGATTGACGTCTTCAAGCTCCCTTCGACATGTAACGCCATCAGCTTCTCACCAACCGGAGAATACTTAGCGACAGCGAGCGAGGAACATGTTGGTGTTGATGTTTGGTCAAACAAGACATTGTTCACTCACGTACCCACCCGCCACATCAACGAGGCAGAGCTGTCAACGATTCTTGCAAGCGAAGCTCAAGCACCCACAGTATCAGGCGAGGGTAGTGTCAATGTCATCGGCACCTTGGCTAATGCGCCCGACGCTGAGTCTGATGATGAAGATTATGTCGATGTCGACCTCGAGGCTGATGCGGACCTTGATGACCTTTCTTCAGACCTTGTGTCATTGTCATTAGTACCTCGCAGCCGCTGGCAAAATCTGCTACACTTGGATATCATCCGTCAACGCAATATGCCGACAGCAGCACCCAAGAAGCCTGAAAAAGCGCCTTTCTTCCTTCCCTCGCTGCAAGAACGACAAGCCAACCCAGCCATCGCAAACACAAACACCACACAAGACCTTGCCGCTATCGAGCAAGAGCGCAGCCGCATCATGAAGATGGACCGTCAGAACACAATCTCAAAGTTCACTTCTCTGTTGCGTGATGCTTCTGACACAGGCGACTTTGCATCCTTCATCGCACACCTCAAGAGTCTCAATCCCGCAGCCGCCGATATTGAAATCCGCAGTTTGTCTTCTCCAATTACATCATTCGATCCTGATTCGGATGCCTGCAATGAGCTGGTCGCTTTCGTAAGAGCGCTGTCTTACCTCTGCACATCTAAGCGCGACTTTGAACTTGGTCAAGCCTGGATGGCGGTGTTCCTCAAGGTACATTCGGACGTCGTCATTGAAGATTCCGAGCTCAGAGACAGCGTCAAAGAGTGGAGGGACAGAGTTGTTGAGGAGAAGGAGAGAGTCGAGATGCTTGCGCAATATTGTGGTGGTATGGTGGGCTTCCTGAGGGCTGCCAGAGTGTAGACATTGTCCAAAAATATAGGCGCATAGATGTGATGAGTTTTGTTTACATCTGCCATCAAGTATTCACTATTTGACTGCCGCATGTATTTTGTATTCCCCTCTAGTGACATGGTTTGCAATGTCGGTTGGTCGGATGTGTGGAAGGATGCAATACTCCTACATCTCAACGTCCTCAGCTTCCATTTGCCAACAACGGCTTTCAGCTTCGAACGCTTTTATCATCAGCGGACCAATCGTCCATGTCCAAAGGATTTATTGTGAGATCTAGAAGGCAAGAGGGGTTTACCATTTCATTCCAGCTATAAATGCTCATCTCATCGCACTTAGTTCTGCTCACGAATTCTCTGTCCACCATTCACTCACAAAATGGGGGAACAAGAACATCTCATGTCGGCCATCGAGGTCGACTCGGAAGATACAACGACAGCGCTACCATCTACCAAGCCCAGATACCTTGACAAGGTCGCCTTCCCGTCCAAGTCATCAGTGTTGCAAAACACAAAGCACGTCCTACATTTCCTGCTTCCTAGCTTCCTACACTTTACGTCGTCCAACTCCACAGACGAGAAGACTTCAAGACCTATTCATGCCACGGCATGGCTTGACGGAATGCGCGGTGTCGCTGCCTTGCTGGTGTACATCTACCATCTCTCATACTCGATCCACGATGTCGACACCGCATGGACATACGATGGCAAACAAGGCTTCCTCCGCTTACCACTGATTCGATTCTTCTACAACGGCCACTTCATGGTAGCCATCTTTTTTGTGCTGTCGGGTTATGCTTTGAGTTACAAACCCGTCAAGCAGATCAGGAAACAAGAGACACAACCATTGCTCGAAGGACTGGCCTCTTCTGTGTTTCGACGTTGGATGCGATTGTTCCTTCCTTGTTTTGTCTCAACGTTGATGATCGTGGCATTACTCAGATTGGGCGCCTATGACCGGACAAGAGGAATTGCTTACGATCAGGCGAGGCTGACTTTTCATCGCGAAAGACATGCTGAAAGGTATGAGACGCTAGGCAAGCAGATGTGGGCATGGACAACCGCCTTTTTCGCATTTGCGAATCCGTTCACTGCTAGGGATATGCCTATGGATCCGCATCTGTGGACTATCTCGATTGAATATGTGAGTCTTGCCTTACTCTGCGTTTTTGTCTTTGAGCATTGCTGACAAGTGTTGTAGGGCGCTTCAATCGTGTTGTATGTCACGCAACTTGGCCTTTGCCGTTTACGGACCAGATACCGTCTTTTGAGTCTGCTTTGCTTGGTCTTTATGGCACATCAAGCCGATCGCTGGCCAAACATCCTCTTCTTCGGCGGTTTCATCCTTGCAGAACTGGGTCATCGTCGTCGCTCTCTCGCTACACCAAGCACTTCCACCCTCCCTTTTTCGTCATCTCCAAGATCTGGTCTTGCGTGGTCTGTCACTTACATCGTCATTTTCATCTGTGGACTCTACCTCGGCGGCCAACCGGAGTTAGCTGTTGACAAAGCACCTGGGTGGATGACGCTGCACTCGCTGATCCCCAAACACATCAGAGATAAACATAGATATTGGGTTACTTGGGGTGCGATACTACTCATCTGGTCAACCTCCAATTCTTCACCCCTTCAAAAGATCTTCACCAACCGCGTATCGCAGTATCTTGGCAAGATCTCTTTCTCGCTGTATGTGCTGCATGGTATGGTGATTCATACTTTACACTATAGCTTACTAGATAAGCTGTTCAAAGCTATTAGCAACGACACTTTCTTGCATCGGGAAACTGCATTTGGAGTTTCTGCGGCGGTTGTTACGGTTGTTATTGTGTGGACTGCTGATGTCTTTATGCGGGTTGTTGATATCCCGTCTGTCAAGTTTGCGAAGTGGATTGAAGGCAAGTGTAAGATGAAGGTACAGACAGAAAAGGAAGAGCCAAAGTGGATGGAGGGGAGTGCAGTTGTGTAGTTATCCTCCATAAATTCAAAGAAGCTTTTATATCGAGTCCAAACCATCTTCCAAGCTCCCCTACTTCCTAACCACAATAACTCCCATCTACCCCATTCCCTCCCCTCCCTCTCCCGTCCCGCCTACCCTCATCCACCCCTTCCCCCTCGCGACCTCAACCCCGCCAGTACAGCCCCAACTACATACCCACCCACTGCATACCCCACCACAGCAACAAAAACGAAAAACGCCAGCTGGCCACCACAATCCACACCCCTTACTACTCCACCCTCGTTTTCAAAAACTTCGCATTTCTGCATGGTTTCTTCCCAAAATGGGGTTCCCAGATAATTTGTCCAGAGAAACAAGATGAAGAGGCCGCCGAGGTGGTTGAAGGAGTTGGAGGTTGGTGGAGATGAAGCAGGGGAGTTGAGAGAGGGTACGGTGGTGGTGGCGCCGCACGTGGGGCATTTTGAGGGCATGATAGATGTGTGGGAGGCAGAGTCTCTAGTTTTGATCCTGCTGCAATGGGCGATTTGACTGGATGTTTTCAATGCGTAAAGCAACTAGTGTTAGGAATTTGACAAGATACGTCGAGAGGTGAGATTTTGTTACTCTTGTGAAAAGAACAGCAGTTTGCCAAGCGATGCTCGGTCTCTGCTCGGTCACTTTTGTTGTGTCTGGGACAAGATCAGATCTACCTTGACATGTAGACACTCGACTGTTGGTATTATCCGAATGGCGAGAGGAGAGATAGTCAACAAATCTGCTTGAGGAAGCAGAGGAAATGTTGGTAAACTCCTTTCTTACGTGGAAAGAGATCGGTGTAAGTTGAAACGACCTCCTGGTAAAATCGGTGCACTGTGTACGTTAATCACGAGGGTTAATGACAGGCTCAACATACGATTCCTAGCTGAGAAATGGAAATAGCTTCTAACAAAGAGTAATACTCTAGAGCAATACCAACAAACTAGGATATAAGAGTAATCAGAGTAGAAAATGAGAGAAAGAGGAAAAACAGGCCAGGGTGTGTTGAGAGACAAGCGGTAAGCCGACATTCCTCCGGGGCCCTTCTCCGACCTTGACACTGTAATGCTTGACAAGCATTTTTCTTGCCAGATGAATGGAACAACCTGCTTGCTAGCGAGTTTCAGATCCCAATCATGATCCAAATGCCAAAGGATCTCGTAACCATGGTCCTGACGAACATGACTTGTGCCCGGTCAAGATTGTTTGGTCACGCACGACTGGCGACTCTTCGCAACTCTCATCCTTTCTGTTTCACCTCTGTGTGATTCGTGGAGCAGACTTCTTGACCGTTGCCGTTGATGAGGCCTTCTTCAAAAAGCTGATATACCTTCGCCAGTGGCAGTAGCTTGGCGATCCGTGCTAGTATCTGGAGACAGACAATTCGGGATAACGTCTTCGCTTGCGTAGAGCATTACAAACAAGGGAATTCTTCCCTGCCAGACATCTCACATGCCCAACATTAACGCCGATCAGATTGTTGGTCACGTCTCATGCTCTTAAGCCAAAAAACGCCCAATATCCAGGGCACAATCTTCGACACCTCATGTCACTCGTTTCTACGCCAACACTAGATTTCCTGTCGAGTTGCTTGGAGACATGGCAGCCGAGAGACCGCATTGCGTGTGAAATCTGGCGTGGAGCCTCCTTGACAATGCTTGTAGACCAAGCGCGCCACGAGAGAGTTGACCAGCAATCTCTACTAGCTTGACCTCAGTAAAGGCATTCAACTTACGACGATCTCAAACTGCCGATGAACCAGCAACCGGGTTCGGTGGAAAGATCATACCTGGGAACACCTGCAAGATGAATTGGGCGTGCAGTTGCTCAGCTTTCACTCGACAGATCTGGGTCGTGTTATCTGGATAGAGATCGTCTGAGGGCAAGGACCAGACGTCTGGAGCCTAGAGACCATCGGGCAACCTGAAGATCTGGAAACACCGAGGTTGCCATTCACATGTTAATTGCGAGGAACTCGAACATCACGTGTTGGCCAAGGGCTTTACAAAACATGAAGTCATACGCGAAGCTGACAGGTCCCTGGTTCTCGTATCGCTACATGTGCTGGCACTCACAAAACGGTTGAATCAAGGATTCCAATTGATGCCTGGCGTTGATTGTTCTGTTGATCCGACCTGTCAGCTTATGCAGAGAGAGCAATTTGATGATCGCATTAGGTTGTTTGTTTGTGACTCAACGGAACTACCCTCATCGCCTTGTTGGGAATCTCTAATATACTATGAGCGCGTAAGAGCATGGATTGATGGTGCAACGTCCAATTCACTCATTCAGAAGCTGACAGATACCGCGCGGAAAAGCAAAATCTCTACACGTGGAGTGAACACCGTCACATCCCGCTAGGACACAGGGACAATAAAGTGCAAAGCTGTTTTACAATGATTACCTGCATAACATCGGCTTGGCATACACTGCACGAAGGAGGATGAAGAACTGCGTTGTTTACGCCAATAGCGAAAAACATTCTGATCAGCGTTATCAGTTTGAGGCTCTCGCTACCAGATTTCTGGACCGGAAATGTGTGTAAAATGGCATTTTACAAATCATGAACGAAAAGAACAAGAGGCACATATACTCTGTCTTTGGCTATCCAGATGTCATCTGATTTTTGTTCTTCACGATCAAAAGCCCTGCTCTCAACCTCAGAATTCTTTGGCAAGATGTCTTCTTCACACCAGAGCAACCGACATGTGGATGGTTCGAGATTGCGCAGCAGCTGCAATGCTTGCACGGATGCCAAGATTGGTTGTACAAAGGAGAAGCCGACTTGTTCTCGATGTTCACGACGCGATGAAGTCTGCGTCTATGCTCCTGCCAGGCGCGCAGGTCGGCCTAATCGCCACAAAGCAAATCGAGCATCAAGTCATCGGCTCGAACGCGGCGCACTTTCTCCGAGATCACCACCGCTGCACATGAATCCGGCTTCCTATACCGATTTTCTACCACAATTCCCCGACATGACCACAGCTCGCTCCTCGAACCAAGTCGCATCACCTTTGGATTTCCCCTCTTTTAGCCAAAATGATATCAATAGTTATCTGGAATCCATTGGTCCTATCTTTGATGACCTGATCCCAGGTGACGACGGATCAACTCGTTCGCTTGGTGGAGACAGTGGAATCGGCCTCAGCAGCGAGAGTAACACTACTCTGGGACACGACTCTGGACAGATTGGCAGTGGCTGCGAGAACATAACCACGCTGATGACCGATGGTGATCCCGATGGCGACAAGGAAATGATGAATAGCCCACTGCGTCCAGGTCCCACAGAAACAATCCCATCCCCAGAGCTCTTCGCAATGGCAAACATGTTCAATATGAACAGTACGACACCACATCAGGTGTTCCCTCACGGAGCCATGAACACGAGCGGGCAGAATACCCAGCTGCCGACCTCTTCAGAACAAAGGCGCAAATCAGCATCGTGCGACTGCAGGATAAAATGCTCCGCTCTCCTCGACAGGATGGCAGCGTTCAGGGCGGATGCAAGTCTTGACTCGTCCTCGTGCGGGCCACCAGTCTTTGAGGATGTCATTGAACAGAACGACTCCACCATCGAGATTGTCCGCGAAATCTTGGACTGCTCTTGCTCCAACAACAACAATTCGACACTATACATACTCTCCCTCGTGATATTCGAGACCTTGGGATGGTATGCAGCTACTGCGCTGGCCGTCAAAAGCAGCAGAAAGCCCAGAGACGCTACCACCGCGTATTCTGACGCGGGCCTCCAAGAAATCATGGTGCGACCACCGTCAGCGTCCAACGAGAGGTGCGGCAACACCATCGAAGTTGAGGCGTATCATGAACACATGATCTATCAAAGCTTGATAACAAAGCTTTACTGTGTTCGGCGGGTCGGGACGTCCCTCTCGCAGCGTCTCTTGGCCGCAGAAGAGAAGTCGAAGATCAAAGCAAATGCAAAGGTGCCGTTGTCATGCCCAACCGACAACACGAGCAAGAGCCGTCTTGCCGCTGCAGCGCAAGACATTTTGATATATGGCGACATATTTCAGAATACGAGCCTTGGTCCCCGAGCTGACGGTATCTGGAAAAGTCTGGAAATTGGCCTGAGGACCAGACTGAAGGAAGTATCGCAAGGCATAGTTGAGGCTCTACGGGAAGCATGAATCCTCCCCAGTCGATCGTGCTTGTGCTCATGTCAAATTGGCGCTGTGGTGGATCTCTTTTCCTTTGTTGAATCCAGGATAGACACACAGAGTAGCTCCACTATACGACCGAATGTCCAAATCAATCGTGTACAGCGTCCCACCTCTTGGCTCGCGAGGTGAAACAGCTTTCCAGGAAGAGCTCGCCCGAGGTGAACCGAATGCATCCCCATTTGCGTCAAGATGAGGAAGTTGAGAGACCAAGGATGGGAAGGCTGACCTCAACCAGGACGTAAAGAGTGAACTGCCGACAGAAATGTCAAATGACGCTAATGTCGCGGATAGGGATGCGGTTCCTATAGGGAATTCTGGTGTGGTGTGTGATTGGCTGGGGAATTTCGAGCAGACCCCACATCAGAATGCCGGACACTTTAAGGTCGGCGCTTCTCCAGTTCGATGCCTCTCGGGTCCCGACTCCGTACTCTATATAGTAAGCTACTGTCACTTATGTGGAGAAGGTCATGATCTTCCCGCGCCGTGCACGGTGCAGAATCAAAGGCTGCAGGCATCTTAAATCCTCCGAAAACCCGGGCGACAGGTCATACAAGGTACGGCAAGGACCCCCGGCACCCGTGACACGAGAAGTCAGTCACTACTACCTGCACCTGCTTTCTGTTCCTTGACGAATTCTTATCACTAGTGTCCAACGTCCTGCGAGTTTCTCACCGGTCCCGCTTGACGACTTCTCGCGTGGCTCGTTGCATATTCTTCCCCTCCATCTCGACCTGCATTGCCAATCTGCGGAGCGAATGTGCATGGCTCAAGCGTTATTTGATCCACTCTTTATTCCCTAGCTCTGACAAGACACGGAGAGGATTCCACATCGTCAGAGGCGTGTCCAGCCATGCGGCTGTGAACGCAAGAATTGCAGCACATCGCTGGCCGTACCAGGTTCAAATTAAGCATTCTGCAAGCCACGCTCTACCTCGGACATACACAGCTCGTGTTGCCGGTATCTGATGGTCCCTGGAACTTTACCCGTCTCACACTTGCATACAAAAGCGCGACTCATCGAATCTCTCAGGAGGCAGGACCGCTCGACAACCTGGCTAGTTTCTCACATATGGGCATTGATAGCATAGGGTGATGCCTGCTTCTCGTCCATGGTAATTTCAGCCGACTGCAGTCTAGCGCCATGTCGGTAGTCCTCAACGGTAGTCAGACCTGAGGAATTCCCCGAGACATCAGAAGTTCGACGCTACTCATCCAACGCAGTTCAAACAGCTTTTGCATAGGTATTACATCAAGACTCTTCCAGCAATTTGCGTTCGAGGCAGCCGAGGCAGTTGGGGTTCTCGCTAGATGAATTGACATAGAGCTCGAAAATGTATCTCTTCAAGGTCAAGACATTGTGTACAGCTCTTTCTGAACTTGGTACATGATGGACCCTTTGTGGGCTTCGTTTCATGAGAAAGTCTTCGACATTCAAGATGCTGCTCAAATCCTCTCTCAGGCGGCCTCAAAAGGCGAGTTTGCGGATGCTGTCACGAAGGCGGATCGATCGATTACAAAATCCCTGGTACCTCCACGAGCCTCATCCGAGTCGCTTCGGGCTCGAACGTCAATTTTGGAGAGTTCAGACTCCCTTCAAAATATGCTTCGTGACCCTCGTGGCTTACTCGAACATCTAATGTTCCAGGTAGTTGAATGTCGCAAGGAGATAGTGGGTGGAACATTACTGACCCGTCCCATCAGGTTCAGCTGCTTGCATCCCTGCAATGGCTCAGCAGCTTTCAAGTGCTTGCCTGTATTCCCATAGAGCAGCCAACAACCTTCGAAGATGTAGCTGAGCTGGCCAGCGTGCCAAGCAGTCAACTCATCCGTGTCACACGCATCGCAGCTATGGCTGGGTTTCTGCGCGAACCAAGATCAGGTCATGTTGTACACAGTGCATTGTCAGCGCAATTCGTGCTCGAGCCATTCTCACTGGATGCACTATTGTTCATCTCTGACGTCGCCAATCCGACCTCAATGCATATGACAAGAGCCACCAGGACATATGGAGAGACTCAGAAGCTAGAACAAACACCTTATCAGCTTGTTTTCCACACTACACCTGATTCTGTGGTTGACACGAAGATTCGCCGTCAGCATGCCGCTTTCGATCGCCTGAGTGCATATAACTATGTCAACGACTTGCCATCGATGTATGATTGGCAAAGTCTAGATGCAGGAACGGTGGTAGAGGTATGAAATGTGAGCAGTACTCTCAGCTGGACAAGAGACTGATAGAAATCTGCCATAGGTCTGCGCTCGATCTGTAGACACAATCACAGCTCTACCCCAGTTATCAGAGAAGCTCGAATTCATCGTTCAGACGAACGATAGTAAGATGTACGACCACATGACGCTCCTCTCTCGCTCTGGTCAAAAATATCGGTCGTCATCCGCTCCTCTGAATAATACCACTTTACCGACTACTCAAGGATATGATAACCCACTGGCGCCCGTGAAAGTTCAGTATCGCACTGATGGTGGGCCACAAACAGTTCAAGGAGCAGCAGTCTACCTCTACTACGTTCCTCCACCATCTACAACCAGAAAGATCGAACAAGTGCTTGCTGAGCTCGATGCTGAACTCCGAGCACATTACGCGGTGCTTCAGAGCCGCCCCAATTCAACCATGCTTGTGGTGATGCATCTGCTTCCCGATCCAGGCGCACTCAGTGGACAGGTGGAAGCGAATCTTCGTACGCTTGACATGTTGCTCCATCAACTCACCAATCAGAGATTGTTGGAAAAGCGGGACGTACTGAATGTTCTGGGCAAGATACGTGACAGTACTGGTCGTCTTGTTCTGATCAAGACGTCTGTCGATCGTCATTGGCCAGTCACAGTCTTGGAGATCAAAGCTGAAGTGTACCAAACATCTTCGTTGTGAAGACTTGAGTCGGTCTGTGGAGTGGCGCTTGGTCACGGCCAAGGGTAGTTGACACCTGACTATCTTCTCATCCGTCCAGAGCTTTTCGATGACATGTTCAAACAAGATTCACATGACATTTGAAATAGCACATTCCAAAGAATAACAGCCCAGCCTTCACCTCACCGTCATTGTACTGTATCCAGACTTCATCTCATCCTTGCCACGAAACGTGGGCTCCTGTTGAGATAACCCAATATTCAGGCCACGAGTACGGTCGCTCTTCTCTTGGCTTCTTCGTCAACGGTCAACTGGGGTCGATCTGTTCACGTCGATAGTGTCGGAGCCCGACGTGCATGTGAATATTGCCCGGATCTCACATCTAGTGACCATTCAGGTTCGTGTATTTCCAATGACCCGAGATTTTGACACGGCTTTGCATTTTCTCAGAAGATCGGGACTTGTCCATGTGCTGCCACAGAGTGGTAGCCTTGAACGTATTCTTGACATTGCTAGACTGCCAAAAGATCCACCTTTGGCCGCACAGTGTCAAGACATAGATTGTGCGAAGAATGGGCAATGTGCAGGAAGCGTTCTTGGGAAAATCGCACGTGTTTGCTTCCGTTTGTTAACATGGTGTTCGGGCTGAGGAACGTCAAGAATGTCAAGATGCTTGTTTCACGGGAAACCCAGGCTTCATCCTGCACTTCACACAGCATTTTAAATCAGTATGAGAGTTGTTCAGCATAGATGGGTTATGAAAGATGCTTGCCCAGCATGGGTTTCTGGTCATCTCCAATGGTGAGAAGCTAACTCTGCCTATGTTGTCGTCAGCTCCACCATGTCATGTCATTCGATGAGGATAAGCCATGCGTTTGGATTCTTAGCTGTTGTGACCACTACGCAGTCCTGTATGCCCAAAGGCATATCTGTTGTCAGATCAAGAAGATCAATATGCGTCTGGAAGCGCATGGACAAAGTTCAAGTTGATGTCGTTCCCTTTTCTTAGCAACACAATCGCTCTGCAGGGTGGTCGGGACGGGCTGAGAGAAACCCAGAATCATGAATAAGAAAATCTATATAACTAAAGACTATTAACGCCATTGTCCCTCATCTCCTCGCATCGTTGCATTTCTTTTATCACTCTAGCAATAACTCGCCTCCAGCCATCCACGCAAATCACCGATGCTTGGATAATCCAAAAACAAACTGCCACCCACCACCACATCCAGCGTAGTCTTGAACTTCTCGGTAATGACAAGGGACATGAGACTGTCGACTCCGAGATCTGCAAAGTCAGCGTCATCTTTCAACTCTGAAGCATCAAGGCCGGCTTCTTTGGCGATGAGTTCGAGGGCTCTGTCGACGATAGTAGGGGCGCCTGTTGTGTCCTTGACTGCAGCAGGCTCAGCAATGGCAACGGGTGTCTCTGTTTTGGCAGAGATGACCGGCTTCTGCTCGCTACTAGGCTTCTGTGGGGCGGTTTTGGGCTCAGGTGCCTTGCACACCGCGTGTGAAGTCTTTTGAGGCACCGAGGTATTGGCTTGGTTTGGTGCTGAGAAGAATCGACTCAGCAGCAGGCGTGGGTATCGACGGAACTTGATGCCTCCCACGAGCCCGATGATCTGGCCATCTTGCATGATGTACACATCTCCCGTGTAGACTGTGGCATCCTCGGGAGTGGGGATCATCTTGACATATGAGCGGTATTTCATGCCGGCGACAAGTGGCTTGGCAAAGCGCATGGATTTCCAGCCAGGAGTCACGCAGAAGTTCTTGGCCGTGTCCATTGCATCGGAGCAGTTCATGATGAATCCGGCAAGATGAGCAACACTGTCGATGAAGTAGGGCGGCACTGTCCACACTCCACCTTCATGGGTAGTCAGTTGCACATCGGCGAATGCTTCTAGATCGCGCAGCACAACGTTCTGCATGCCACGATACTTCTCAGCATAGTCAACCAAGTTGCTTGCGAACAGAGTGTAGGCCATGTTTCCGGTAAATCGACTTGCTTGACCTTTGTTTGCAAGTTCGGTAAGAGCGTCAATGCGGCTTTCGATGAGATGACTCAACGGTGTCCAAGACGAGAGCCACTCAGATGGTTCGCCATAGACGAGGGTTGCTGTGGCAAAAGGCTCTTGAGCAACACCGCTGTTGTCAACATTGCACCACGACATGTTGGCTAGACCTGAAGTCATCTCTGGAGTGGAGATGGATACTCTGATTTTCTGAGGTGTCTTCGTGTCCTTTTGCGCCACAAGTCCCTTTGTCACGTCGAGCTCGGTGATGTTGATACTGTTCTTGCTTGTCTTGACACCAGACTTCTTGAGCAGGTATTGGCCAAGCGTGTAAGCAATATCAGCATGGATAGACTAATCGTGAGTTAGCATCATGTCTTCAGACAGTTGAGCAAGCGACCAAGAATACTTACAGATGTAACAACTCCACAATCGTTCATGCGATGTCCATGAGCTGCGGCGAGGAAGTCTGCTTGCATTAGGTCTGACTCCATAGTCACGGTACCAGCTGTGCCATCGAATTTGGCCTCAATGATACTCTGCACAGTTGACGTCTGAACTTCACTTGCCAGCGGGTTCTGAGGAAGAGCTTTCTGGTTCTTGGTGGTGTAGAAGTCGTTCCCCTTGGTTAGGCACCAATCACCTTGGTATTGCAGCCAGTAATTCTTCTCGTCCCAAGCATACGCAGGCAGGTTAAGAAGGCGAAGATTCTGCTCGAAAGGACGATGGAATTCTTGCCAGCGGACATCAACGCCGTGCAGGGACAGAGCGGTCAAAGCCTCAGAGAATGTCTTCCAGTTATCCTCGGTTCGGTGCAGTGACGAAACAGCCAATTTTATAGTGGCAAGGGTGGACTTGACGAAACTAGTGCACACAGGATGTGGTCCGATCTCAATCCAGATAGTCTCGTCAGAAATTGCAGAGGCTTCGTGAGCACTCTCCAAAGCGGACACGAAGTTAACAGACTCTCTTGTAGCTTGTCGAACGTATTTTGCATTGATCGTCTTACCGTCAAAGACAACCCTTCCCAGTAAGGGTGACAGGATGGGCAGCTTCGGCTCACGGAAGATAACACCTCCTTTTGCAGCGGCTTCAAAGTCGTCCAGGATGGGATCTGTTTGCTCCGAGTGGAATGCGAAAGCCACGTCCAACAAGATACAGCGGAAACCACCAGCTTCGAGTGTTCGTTGCATGTCCCCCATCTGCTGTTTGGTGCCGCTGAGTACTGTGTCCGAAGGCCCGTTGATACACGCAACAGTATAGTCTTTGCCTTCGGAAAGCTCCTCAATCTGTGATGTAGAGGCACGAACAGCCATCATGATATGGCTGCCTGACTGGCATGGCTCTATCAGCATCTCAGCACGGCGACCCACCATGAATATGGCTTCACTAGCACTGATAATCCCTGCAGCATGCATCGCAGCATATTCGCCGAGACTGTGGCCACAGACGACATCGGGTTTGACGCCTAGTGTCTCCCAGTACTTGGTCAGCGCAATTTCGGTGCAAACAAGTGCGAGCTGCGTGATGACAGGACTGTGGAGGTGGTCCTTGTCGTGAGATCCATCAAGAGCTGGAACGAATGATGGGAATCCTTGTATCTTGGCTAGATCGTCAAGTTGCTGGATAGATTCTCTGAAGGTCGGAAGATCGCGGTACAGCTGTAGGCTCATAGATTTGTGTGAAGCTCCCTGCCCGGTGAAAGTGAAGGCGATCTGGGGTTTCGCAGACTTTCCCACAGGTTTCAAAGTTTCAAGCTTGTCCAGGTAGGCAGCAAGCTTCTGCTTGAGGGATCCAATATCCGAGACCGCGGTTGCGTAGCGATAGCTGTGCTGATAGCGACGGGCTGTGGTGGTGTAGGACAAGTCTGCAATGCTGAGCTCAGGGTGGAGCTCGATATGCTTGATCATCCTTGATATGTTCTCTGCAAGAGAGTATTTGGTCTTTGCGGAGAGAACAACTGGATAGACTCCACGAGGGTCTGCTTGAGGAGTGCTGCGGCTGGGTCCCTCTTCCAAGAGCATCGTTGTGTTTCCACCTGCAGCTCCAAAGTTGTTGACCACCGCAAGACGCTTCTTAGCAGGGTCTTTGGACCATGCAGTCTGTTCAAAGGGGACATGCATGTTGCGCTTGCCGAGCTCATTAGCAAATCTAGTGTTCATCTCTGTTTTGATGCCGACATGACGGGGTATGGCGTTCTTCTGCAGCATGAGAAGGACTTTGATCAAAGCTGTTGTGCCCGCTCCAGATTCGCTGTGACCGACGTTCGACTTGACAGCACCGATGTGTAGAGGCTGATCATTGCGACGTCGTTTTGTGAGTGGCGCATATACGTCCATGATACCTTTCATCTCTTCGTGGTCGCCAGCCTGAGTGCCTGTGCCGTGTAGCTCAACATAAGAGACGTCCAACGGGTCGACACCGGCTTTTCGAAGAATCTGACGAGACAGATCGGCTTGATGACCAGCGTGAGGATGGGTGATGGAGACAGCCTGTGCCGAATGATTTGTGCCTGCACCGAGAATCACGCCCAGAATGTTGTCGTTGTCTGCTTCAGCGTCTTCTAGGCGTTTGATAACCACGGAGCCAATGGCGTCAGCACGGCAGTATCCATCCGCGCTAGCGTCCCATGTCTTGCATGCATTGTGCCCCTTGGTAAGGAAGTGGCCATTGCAGAGACCAGCAAAACCATCTGGGTTGGTCAAGACGTTGAGGCCGCCAGCAATGGCAGTATCCACCTCGCCGTTCCAGAGTGCTTGACAGGCGACCTGGGATACAGAGTTAGCTAGGTATCTTCGCTGGGGAACGAGATTCACTCACCTCGATCGCGGCCAAACCAGAGGAGCAGGCTGTGTCCACACTGTAACTTGGGCCAGCAAACTTGAAGAAGTAGTTGATACGTCCTGGACCGAATGCGCGACAACCACCAGGGATGTAGTAGGTGCTGACAGCTTGTCCTTGGTTAACCTCGCGATAGTCGTCAGCAGCCTGGCCGTACCAGGTACCGACGCGCTGAAGCTGTGTCGCTGCGGTACGGTCACCTACACACCCGGCCTGCTCGAGAGCCTCGTAAGCGGTGACAAGAGCCAAACGCATCTGTGGATCTACCGTCTGAGCCTCGCGAGGAGACATGTTGAAGAACGATGCATCGAACATGCCGGGTTCGTCGATGAAGCAGCCGTATTGTGTCATGGACTTGTTCAATTCTGAGCCAGTTGGATCGTAGTGTGTCTCGACGTCAAATCTGTCTGCTGGGATCTGTCGCGAGACGTCTAGTCCGTCCTCAAGGAGCTTCCAGAATTTCTCAATATCTGTGGCACCGCCTGGCAGTCTGCAAGACATGCCCACGATTGCTAGTTTGGATTGTCCCGTAGATCGTGGTGCTGAATCGTTGATTGTAGGTCTGTAGATCCAAGTCGTCAGAAGCTCGGTTGTAATCTCAAGCGACGGGACACTCTCAGCAAGTGCGTTCTTGAGTTCGTGGAGAGGCAAGGAGTTTCCAAGACAATAAAGCGACATGGTGGAGACTGAAGGCGATCCGATGCGATGCGATACACCAGCTATCACACCATCCCAGCAGATGGCTTGAGTCAAGAGCTCGCCCAAAACATGCTCAATCATTCCCGAAAAGCTGCGAGCAGGGTAAGGGCGGCCAGAGCTGGTCGAATAGAGCGGCAAGACTGAAGTCTCAATCGCAGACAAATTGATACCAAAAATCAATCTCTGAACATCGTCGGCTCTGTAGATGTGAGGAGCATGACAAAGACCTCCGTAAACAGGTAGTGCCATGTATCTGGCAGTGCGGAAGAAGTGCGATTTTGTCACCAGGGCTGTGAGTTGCGAAGGCGGTCCACTGATGGTCACTGAAGTTCCGCCATAGGCGCTCACGAAGATTCTGCCTGTCGCGGGACCTCCCTTGTCCTGATTCCAGTCATCGAGCTCCTTGTTCACAGCATCGAGTTCAACATTCTGGACAACGTATGCCCAAGAGTCTGTGTTCTCTGGTGTCAACACATCAAGATCCTTCGAGACGTTCTGAACGTAGATGCCCAATCGAAATGCTAGGAACACGGCGTTAGAACTGTTCGAAGCCAGCTCTGACAATGTTGTCGAAGCCGAGACGGCGGCAGCTGAGAGGAGGCCAACGCCGAGTGCGGTGATGTTCGCCTCCGGATATTGCAGGAATTTGTCAGGATGGTCTTCGATAAAGCTGAATACGCTGTGAGCATTGACAGAACATCATCATCATCTGGTATAAGACTCACCCAATGTAAGCGCCTAGCTGGAGAATTACTAGCAATACTCCGTCAATGGCGCCGCAGAGAGAGCTCTTTCGAAGCTCAGTATCATCTACCCAATCCAGCAGAGATTCGAATGGTCGAAAAGACTGTTTCAGCTCTGCCGAAAGAGCCTGGATCTCATGTTTCACCGCGCTTGTGGCAGTTGACAAGAAGTGAGCCAACCTCGTATGCTGCCTAGTTTTGGATTGGTTGCGAAGATGGCGAAAGAAAGTCTGCAAGTCATCCTTGGGGAAGTCGTTGCTGAAGTATACGAGATCCATCTTGTGAGAGCCGTCGTCAGACTCGGAACTCGTTGGGGTATCAATGGAAGTCATCATTGATTCTGGCTCGAGAGGAAACCAGAATTACTGCTTTTCTAGGCCACCTACTCAGTCTTTAAATGGTCTTTGCGGGTTGAAGAATGTACAAATCTACAACATCGCTTTTCAGATCTCGGTTGATAGGGCCAGCATCGCGACCAAAAATTGCACCTCGACAATTTCCATGTGTTGCTCCTCACTGTCGGGACAGCCTGGGAGAATACTGCATGCAAGTTCACGGGACATTCTGTAGTGGGAGAAACCACCGCACCGAGTGAACTCTCAGACCCGAAGAATGTACCGTGAGATTATCCACAGTTCTCAACCAATAATCATTGACTCTTAATCTACCGGGACTTTCGGATGCGGGATTGGGCTCTACATTCCCAGCCTGCCGGGACATTTGTTGTTCGAGAACCGCTCTGCTTGATCTTCTCTGGCAAGGCATAAAACTTGATCACGTTGTCCATCTAAATGTCACCCCACGTACCTCTAACACCACGAGATCAAAGCACCAAACATCGTCATGGCTGAAGACAAAGGTGGCTACCGTCAGATTAACAAGTCTCTGAACATCTGTGTGTTCGAAGAGTATCTGCGAGGTCAGAATGCGAACCTTCCAAAGCTGGAAAATGTGGAACAAGTCTCCCCGAGAGTCCTGCGAGTCCTTGGGCAGAACCCTGGCAAGGTGAGCTCCAAACATGTGCTTCAGGCTTATACCAAGAACTAACTCGTCTCCAAAGTTTACCCTCCAGGGCACAAACACGTTCATCGTTGGTACGGGTCACCAGAGACTCCTCATCGACACCTCTGGCGGCGAGCCCGAATGGGCTTCGTTGATCGCATCCACGCTCGAAGACCAGAATATCTCCTTGTCCCATGTTCTTTTGACCCACTGGCATGGTGATCACACTGGTGGGGTGAAAGACCTGCTCTGCCTCTACCCACACCTACAGGGCCATATCTTCAAGAACGATCCAGAAAAGGGACAAACAGATATCCAAGACGGACAGATCTTCGAAGTCCCCGGTGCGACTGTTCGAGCAGTGCATACGCCAGGCCATTCGGAAGATCACATGTGCTTCGTCCTGGAGGAAGAATCAGCTATGTTCACTGGTGACAACGTCCTTGGCCACGGCACAAGTGCAGTAGAGGACCTGGCCATCTTCATGACAACTCTTGTGAAGATGCAAAACCAGGCGTGTAGTCTCGGCTACCCAGCCCACGGAGTTGTGATCGAAGACCTGCCAGCCAAGATGGCCAGCGAGCTACAACGCAAGCACCGACGCGAGAATCAGATCATGCAGGCTCTGTCTGCCGCTCACCAACGTGGACAGAGGAGTGTCACGGTGGCGGACCTGGTTCAGGACATGTATGGCGCAGCAGTGGACGAAGAAACACGCACTCTTGCCTTGATACCCATGATGACAGAAGTGTTGTGCAAGCTTGCTGGCGACGGTCGCACTGCCTTCCAAGTCGTTTGTGGTGTGAAGAAGTGGTACTACTTCGAGAAGAGTCGTCCTGCCACGAGTCAGAGAGTCGAGAAGGAGAGAGAGCGCAAGGATTCGTTGATCGGGGTGCAAGCATTGGAAGAAATCTTTGCTTCGGCTTGATGCATTTTTACCCTGTAACTGATACTGTAGCTACTTTCAAAACATATAGATCATCTGAAGTTCAGTTCCCACAATGAAACCAAGCCCAACATTCTCGATCTCATCAGTTTGGTCTTGTGTAAGGAATGTCATTTACAAGCTGTCTCCATTTTCAGTACTATCTCTCGAACTCAACTCCCTCCATCTCGATGTCTCTCTCATACGACATAAGCCTAGCGACTCATTGATTCTTGCATAAAGGTCATCAAGCCGATCATGGAACCAACGAACGGGAAAACACAGCGAGCAACATGCAACCACGCCCAACCATAGATGATATGCTGAACCTCTTTCAGACTGACGCTAGACGGACCCACCAGAGCCTCATCTGACAGTGCAAACAAGCTGTTGTTGGTAGGCGCCATGACAGTCAATGTGTATGGCACCATGGTAATCGTTGCGGCGCCAGCCATTGCATAGCGCGTCCAGATATCGTTTCTCGATGCACGTTTCTGAGCCGCAATGTAGAAGAATAGCCCGGTGACAGCGACCGACATGGCTGGCATATAAATATGACCATACCAGTACAATCGCGACCATTGTCTTAGGAGTTGATTTGGTGCATCAGTCGTGTTATACAAGACAGGGACTGTAACAAATGAGATGCTCAGCATGGCGCCTGTTTTTGTGTCAGTTGTGCTTTTGAGAGAAGTAAACGATACTAAGTATTACTGACCTGAAAGAAAACATGCCGACATCATTGCGCTTGCCTGGATACCGACGCCTTCAGGTTTCTTTTGAATGCTTCCCATCATAATTTTGAAAGAGCTCCGAACTTGGATCTTCGAGTATCTTTGGTGTGTAGACTGCCGTGATATAGCAGGTTTGATGGTCGGAACACGATGAAACAACCCCGAAAAACCCACCGACTCCTGACACCTGCCCACAATCAAATGCCCCGACGATTTTCATCACATAAGCCAAGATCTCCTACATTTGTTGTGCCTAGTGTTGATTGACGGTTGGCTTTTTCGCAAAAGTTTCGTCGCGCATCATCCTCCCAGCTTTTGACTTATGGATATCCCACCAATGCCTGAAACCCCAGAGCCTGCTGCCATGCCAGATCCACCTCGCTGTCGGTTTCTTTGTTTGACAATCTGTGGTTACCGTAAGCCAGGCATGAGCGAAGAAGACTATCGAAACCACATGATCAACGTCTCTGTTCCCCTAACAAAAGATCTGATGGTGAAATACGGCATCAGGAGATGGACTCAGGTCAGTCGTCAAGTGGGTTGTCTGCACTCAATGTAACTTCACTGAACAAAAGCCCAGATTCACAATCAAACCAATACACGCGAACTCATGTCGCATCTTTTTGACCCCCAAATGTGTAACGTTGCCGACTACGATTGCTTCAGCCAGGTTGTTTTCGAATCTATTGAGGATTACAAGCGAATGAAGCAGGATTCTTGGTACAAGGAACACCTTTTCAACGATCACCTCAAGTTTGCCGATACAAATAGGAGCCAGTAAGTCTTCCATATAACCATCCTCATTATTCAAGCTGATAGCACCTAGAATGACCATTGGATGGATTGAGGATTTCATACGGGATGGGCAGGTTGTCCAAGAGTCTTCATTTTAGCGAGCATACTGCTCCGGCATGGCTTCGTGTCGACACTCTTGACATTATGGAGTACGTGTTGATGGATCACCCAGGGAGTCCGCGAGTTGGTACCCTTCGGCGGTTCGAAGGGGTAGTCGGGCTCGGGGCATTAATCTCGGGTCATTATGGGTCATTGCGGGCAATTTCCCCTTCTTGTGGACCGATTGCTGCAGCCGGTTCCGGATCCCGACCGCCAAGATTCATAGATGTGATATCAGATTGCGGTTCCGTAGGGTATAAATCATCCAGAATCAAATATGACGATCGAGGCCGAACAAAGTTGTAGAGCCGTTTATGGCTTATCCTTATCCATTTCGAGAAACTCTCATAGCAAAGATATCTCTGGTTGAAGGCTCGATATCTGCAATGTGGAGTACAATCTGGGCGTTGGAGCCTGACTGACTGGTGCTGTGCGCAAGGACAAGAGATAGATGATGTACCCTCAGTACTCATTCAGCGGTTATACCGGCCCGACAAAGATTTCGCAAAGCCGTTTTCCAGAAATGTTCGCCCACAACGACTTCAGCTCGACCCCGTTCCGACTCATCCGAATGTCACTGGAGGTTCTACTGTTGGTTCTACTGTTGGTTAGGCCGAAAATAAAGTTGGGACCCTCATACCATATAGTATGGAGAATCGGTAGGCCGAATTGAGTTAATGCCCACGATGTAGGATTGGCAACAAGGCTCCACACTCTTCAGCGATGACACGGATCCTTCCTCTGTTGGAGCTGTTGCTATCTGCGTCTAACGGCACTGATTTCACGGAATCGCATCAGTCCGAGCCCGTGGCGGAACCGCAATCGTTCAGAATAGGCAGCCTGTTGTCATTCGATATGCTTGCAATATGCACTTTTATGCGCCACATGAGCTCTGTGGCTGTGGCAACTTCCCGTCCAAACAATCCGTTGAAGTGACTAGGGAAGACTCGCTTTTCATCGCTAGGGACTGATAACTCTGTTCACGTCACAACACATTCTACACGGCCTGGATCTAGGCAAATGTATACCTGTTGTCAAGTCTCTTGTAGATGCTCATGTCCTGAAATCAGATATGTTGGGTGAACTACGCTATATAATCACTCGAACCTATACTCTGATTGATCTGAATCCGTAAGGAATGGGAGTGTTGGTAGTTCATCCCAAGAATCCGATGATAACGTCCGAATCTGTTCTTCTGTTGAGATGTGCTCCTGCAGCTCTTCCGGCACAATTTCGCAATCCAGTGTGATGCCTTCTGTCATCTCGGTTGAAACGAGTGTCACATCAATAGTCTTGATGACTTTCAGTGATTTGCCATGACAGCTGTCAATTCTGACTTCTGGAAGTGTTTTCGAGAACACCGGATCAGACTTGAAGATGGATGCGCGAGTACTCAACGAGCTTGGTAGCGGCAGCATATCCACTTTGATCAAACCTCTTTTCGATCTTTTCTTAACGTGAACCTCATAGATCGGTAAGGTTTGGATCTGCTTCGTTGAAGCACGACTGAAGCGATGTAGGAATAATGGTCCTAGGATGGGCAGCGAAGCAGCGATGATGAGAGTATTGATCTCAGCGCCCATGACAATCATCAAGCGCTCTGCAATCGGCAAGACATATTGCGTGGTGTATAGAGCATTGACATAATATATCTTGCAGATGCTAGCGATGGTCGCAAAGAAGCTTAGACCGAGTACGACAGCAATGCCACATTTCTTGCGTGCAGTCATCGCTTGAATCTTCCAGACTACCACTGTTGGTAGTATAGTCATGTAAAGATCGGTTAGGGCGTTGAATGTCACCACAGATAAAGCAATCACCCTCAGCACATCGTGACGAATGCATGAAGGTACTCCTGGCTTCAGACCGTGCTTCCATAGTGCCTCGAAGCTGCCACACTGAGTAAAGACCAGGACCGTCATCATCAAATTCACAACGAGTTGCAGTACGATCAAAGCCCGCATAGCGAGCTTGGTCAAAAGCGATATGTCAAGGATCCGTAACATGTAGAGACAGAATGATATACGTCCGAAGAGTGGAGCCATGAACCCAAGGGCATGGCTGATATACAGAGCCCTGGCGAATTGTGGTGCAGGGTAGGAACTCAATCCCGGCTGGAGCCGTCCAAGAGGAAGACTGCATAATAAGCTCGTAAAGACTCCGAACAAGATCGCCAAGATCTATGGTTCTGATCAGCGACTGTCGCACTGAGTGCAGTAGACTAGAGCAGAGATGAACTACCATCGAGACGAGCATTAAATAGTCCTCCACAAGAATAGCGGAAGCTCTGATAGCTTTGGTGATGGCTCTCGCAACGACCATCGTACAAGAGAAGCCCGTTAATACCCACACAACAGTGAGGGTTGCAGGCTTCAGACCTGGACCGATAGGCTGATCAGCCATGTCCGGACGAAGGTGAGGAATGGAATGTCTCAATTGTTGGTAAGTCGGAGTCGATGAGTGGCTGCTCAACCGTACGCGCGATATGAAGCAGGGAACGTGATATATATACGTCGGTAGACTACTGGTCCTGAAATTCTCGAACGAGACAACACAAAGCACTGAGCAGAGTGTAGTATACGATCGGAGACACACACCCGACCGTTGCAACAGAAAAAAGAGTTAAACAATCGAGATCTCCAATACAGGTTCGCAATAGACGTTGGTAACGTTCCGTGCGAGTCACGGACCTTGAGAATCCGAAGTCGTCGTGCCCAAATTCATGCGACTTCTCATATGGATCCTCGACACATATTATGTCGCTCAGCATCTCGGAACGTGTTCTCTGCGTGTTTACAAAGTGGCGAAGAAAGAAGTCTAGGCTATCATGTTCGATATCCTGCCTACGATGTCCAAGTACTGAGACTACTAGTAAGTCTCGAGAACGATTGTAGGTAGCAGAAACTGGCCTACTTTTGTGTGGCGCGTGTGATTGGGGTCGGAAAGCATATATACAAAAGCAAACGTCCTTTGCCAATTCGCCAGCAACAGAACACGGCATTGTAAGGGAGCGTGGCATCTTCGTTATCCCGATTTTGACGAAGACAGCCTTATACTCTAGCAGGTCAGTCGTACCGCGTGCGGCTCCAAACGTTTCCCATGCGCCGTTGCTGCCGGTGAGGCTGCGAGCACGCGATGATGCGGTTCAGCTGAGCTGAATTTGACGCCCAACGCTGCGTCCCGACAACAATAACGTAAAACGTCGGAATATTCAAAGCTTGAGCTTTACATCCTCCCTCGCTCTCTCTCGCTCTCTCAAAACACGTCAATCTGTCAGCAGCCAGCATAGGTCATCCGCTATTTGCCTCTCCAATCAACAATGCGGCCAGATCACACAAGCATTTCAGTTGATGAAAACTGGTTCGCGTGCTCAGATACTAAGGCCGACACACAATCATGTTTTCACTTCTAGAACTTCTAGAGAGATAAATCAATCCATTCTGTCCTTTGTCACAGTCCTGCGTGGCCAGTACCACTTGTTGAGAATGCTCGAGGATCAAGAAATCTCTTTGGATGTCGAACACGTTGTATATGACGTCGCACGACCGCTCGCACGAGAAGAAGGTAGCTGAGTAAAATGCGTTAGCAAGTCTGTACCTCCGATCTTGGTTTTCCTGATCGAGAAATGAGGCAAGTGGAGGCTACAGATTCTGACAGTCCACGTGGTGCCAGGGATTTGCTTAATTTGACCTCTGCACACGAACACTGAGAGAAATACGTCTGATCGATCGAAGCATGACGGTCAGTCGAAGACGTGTGTGATGCCCAGCTTTTCAGAGCTTCTACACTTTTTGATTTGGAATAGACTTGAGCTGTACATTTGCAGGTGAGGTAAGAATGGTGTCTCGACGATGAAAAGGTCTGGTTAGGATCTGCCATTACACATTCTTGTTTTTGTATGTAGACATCTATGTACATTTTGGAAAGTCAATAGGAATGTCAACTTAGACTCCTTCCGGATATTAGTTGATGTAGTAGGCAGGAGTGCCGATGTTAGGAGGAATGTCGCCAGGAAGACTGTCAAAAATGTCTCCAATGTAGTTTCCTGGCTTCAGACCACCAGCGTATGTTGAATTCCAATACATCAGGACGTCCTTCACAATCTCAATACCCGCAAGGTAGATGTTCTGAATGCTAATCTCGAAACCTTCTTGATCTGCGTAAAGCAGATGGTAGACCTCAGTCTCGCCGGGAGGAGCGCGGTCAAAATCACTGATGGTTCTCATAATGATGATGCGGCTGAAGTCAAGCTTCTTTAGGATGGCACCGCGAAGCAGAGACTCGAGGGTAGCATTGTCTTCCTGCTGAGTACCGCAGTAGAGTCCAGTTCCGTTAGTCATGAGGTCGGTGTAGTTGCTGAAAGCATATCCAAGGACAGAGCCAGACCAATACTGGTCTGATGTAGCACTGTCGCACTTCACGACGCTTGGAGGCTGGTTGGCGGGAGCGTAGCCGTAAGTGGCACGGTATTTGGCAGCATCCTCGGTATCGTTCAAAGTGGCCAGAGACGCGAGGTAGAAAGCACGATCAAGGAGGTTCTCGTTGACCTCAAACACTTCTGTACCGTAGATCGAGGTAGGATAATCAATGGGGTTCGACTCATCGGGGTAGTAAGCACCTTGAGGGAAGTACCCGGATGTGTCATTTGCTGGAACTTGAGATTGATCGAATTCTTCTTGCAAGCCAACTTGCACAGCGTACTTGGCAAATGTCACTGAGCCAGTGGTAACAACGTGAGGATTGCCACCAGAGATACCAGCGATCATAAAGTAAGTGGAAGTCAGGTCGAAGCATCCAGACACCCAGAGAGCATTAACGGAGCCGGCAGCGTTGATCTCGCCCTCACCGGTGGTCATCTGACAGACCTCGCCGGATGCAGTACAGTGTGCGTCAGGGAAGAGAGGAGAGAATCCAGGCACAGTCACGTTGTTTGCGTAAAGGTTGAGAGTCGTGTCTTGGTACCAGATGTCTGCTTCAGGGTCGAACTTGAGAGAATTAGCTTAGGAAGTTGAGCATGAGGAAGATCAAAACTGTACCATGCTGATGATGAAGAACTTTGGCTTGATCGATCCTGTAGCCGAACAAAGGCTCGACGCATCTCTCTTGGCTAATCTACGTTGGTGCGCAACATCTTTCGACACGGAACGATGCTTTGGCTTGACCGACGTGCGAGCAAAGGACGAAGCCAATGCATCAGCAGCAAAGAGTGTCGAGAGGCAGAGAGAAACGAGTCTCATGTTGACGATGACCTAAGGAACTTGTCAATGGAAGTGGAAGCGTGACGATAGACGAAGCGGTACCAAGGTAGATTTATAGATAAGATGGCTGGTGTTCGTCCTGCCATTTTTGGAAACGGTTGGTAATCTGGTTGTTCATCGGCGCTGGCCGCTATCTGGGGTGCATACTGTAACTTGCAGTAGCTTCGAACTTGACCGAAAACCACATGGCAGCACGGAAGCAAGCGTTATCGCGCAAGACAAGCAAAAGTTATCAAGCTCGTTCAACGCCACAGTGCAGTATGACTGGTTGCGGACTTTGCTTATCTGAGGCATATCCGTACAGAGTTCTCCATTCACCGTTGAATTCCGGGCCGAGACACATGCAGACACGCGTCACCATTTGTTTGTTACCATGCGATCAGAGTCAAGCAATGTGTCGCGTGAGCCCTGAGGATGTGCGCAGCCTGTCTCAGTCGAGACTTGAGCCCAAGATGCAAGGGTATTTAAGGTGAAGGGGATAAACATCTGTCAACCTAGGTGAAAGACAGAAGTAATGATACCATGGTAGTCCGCGCTCGGGCCCTGTGTGGGGTCTGGATATCGACTAACACGACTTTCCGGTTGAGCTGGAGGACTTCCACGGTGGAACACTCGTCGCCGGTCAAGGACTGATGTACTGTTCTCAAATGATGTCGTTGGTTGAGCAACGTCGAATATACTCAGGGGACTATGGACATCCTGAATCCGAGTGGTCATCGTGATGAGCTTCAACTGAACGAAACCACAGGGGCTTGGAAATTCTGGTCGCTGGATCCAAGGAACAAGTTTTCCTAATCAGCATCGCCAGTGCAGACATAAAAAAGTGTGTAGCGATCGATAAAAAATACCATGCCGCTAATCGAGTTAGAGGATCTGCCAATTTACATGTTGTGCGTTCTGAATATCGTCGTCGGCGCTACGAGCAGGGTCACTAGCTTACCTACACGTGCCGTTAAGTCCGTAAAGTAGACGATAAATGGCATAGAATAAGTAGAATGTTAGTATATTCTACTAATTTTAAGTAAAATATTCCACTACTTTAGTATAGAATAGAATTGTTAATTTAAGTAGAATATTCTAATATTCTACTCCTTAATAAAAAGGTTAAGTTATATAGTTATTCCTCTTACTAAAGAGGTTACCTTATAGTAAGGTTGCTTATATAATAGTACTAAGCCTCTTAATTACTAATTAGTTTTATAGTATAATAGTAGTATATTCTAGTAGAGTTATAGTTAAGTATATTATAATAGCTTATAATATACCTAACTATAGGTAGAGAGACTAGGGTTTAACTCCTTATAAAACTATTTTTTTCTTTTTAGTTAATTATTTAATTAGTTAGATCTTATCTCTAAGATAAGATCTTTACTACTAATTAGCAAATTATATAAAGCCTTATATAAAGACTTATATATTCTTTTTAATATATCTTAACTTAGCTATCCTATCTTCTATCTTCTTATTACTTCCTTTTTACTTAATACTAAAGCTTAGCTCTTAGTTTTCTTTCTATCTTATTTAGTATATAATCTAACTCTAATCTTAATTCTTATATTATATATTTAATAGCTAGCTAGGAGCATAAGTTATAAGGATTATAAAGCTAACTAAACTCTTAATTATCTTAGAGCTAGCTACTATATACTTTAAAATAAAGTACTCTTTTTAAGTTTGCCTCTAATATTCTAAAGCCTAGACTCTTTGCTCCTTAGAGTTAGACTAATAGTATCCTTATTAAAGATAATATTTCTAAGACTAATAATAATACCTCTAATATTAACTAGCTATTACTTCCTTTTTTAAAGTAGTAGTAACTAATACTAATAACCTTAAGTAATTATATTAATAACTGTAAATCTATATTAATATAGTACTTTTAAAAGCCTACTCTTACCTATAGTAATTCTAAAGAACTCTAGTCTTATATAAGAGCTTATTATCCTAGAGAGTATAAGTATAAAAATAAGAAAAAGATCTAGTACTACTTTTATAGTAATAAAGACTATTCTTATAACTACTATACTACTAACTATAAAAATATTAGATTATACCTTTAGAATAGATATAGCTAGAAATAGGTAACTAGTATACTTTTAAGAATACTTATAGTAGTAATACCTTTTTAGATATCTTATAATATTACTAATATTAATAAAACTTACTTAAATAGATATCTTATTAATTTTATTACCTTAAGTAATATCCTCTTTTATACTAGTAGTAATCTTTTACTCTATATACTAATTAATAAGATACTTTCTAGTACTTTAAATCTCTTAGTTAAATCTTATTCTATAGTTACTTAGTATATTAAGAAGAAATATAACTTTTATAAAGAGTAGCTTAAGGCACTACTTATAATATCTTAATTATTAATCTACTTTACTTACGATACTTAGATAGCTAATTATAGTAACTATAAGCTACTAAGTATTATAGCTTAATTTATTACCTTAGATAGTAAGTTAAGTAAGGTATTTCTTACTTTTTATAACCTATTAGCTAGCTATACTAGTACTTAATATACTTTTTTCTTCTTTAATACTATTATAAAATATAGTATTAAGTAAAAAATTAGGTATATTACTTCTAATAATACTACTTATAATAATACTATAATAAGCTACCTTACTACTCTATTTAATAAGTATCTCTCTATTAATTAGGACCCTATATAATACTAAACTTACTACTTTAGATACTAGATTAACCTTACTAGCTAAGTACTTATATTAGTAAGCTTAAAAAGTACTATTAACACTATAATTACTTAAAGTTAAGACCTATTAGAAGCTATCTTAACTTTAAGTTAAGGTAATAGCCTAGCTAATTATAAAGCTATTAACTATCTCTACTAATTCTTTGTATAGATTATAAAGTTAGCTTGCTATTAGTATAAGTTTAAGGTAGCTACTAGTATATCTACTATACTTAATAATACTATAAGATAGAATAGCTAGTTATCTATAATTAAGTAAGGACTTAAATGTAAAGTAACTATATATATAATCTAGCATACTTATAAGTATATAGAGAATACTATTCTTTAGTAATATTATTAGTAGTTTCTTAAAGTGCTTATCGACTTTATAGAACTACTATAAAAGGTAACTAAGCTATATAAAGGTAATAATACTACCCTTAATTAAGTAAGTCTATATTTACTTAAACTATAGATCTAGTTAAATACCTACCTATTTATAGCTAAAATCTAATACCTAAGAATACTAGCTTATATATAATAGGTACTTATATTAATAGACTTTTTATACTAGTATTATAAGTAGAACTTAGTCTATTATGCTTTATCTAATCTAGTCCTTACTTTTGCTATCTAGACTAGCTATTTTGCTCTTAATAAGTAGTAAGCTATTAATAATTATACCTCTACCTATACTACTATACTTTTTTTCTATCTAATATATTATAAAGCCTATCTTATAAAATATTAGCTTTTATTATAGTAAGTACTAGCTATTACTACTATATATACTTTATAGAATATAAAGTATAAAAATAAGATAAAGCTAATTAGGATAATACTATAATTAAAAGAGAAGGAAATAAATAAGCTAGCTAAGTAGTAGGCTTCTTTATAGCATATAAGCTTAGCTAATATACTTAAGGAATATATCTACTTTATTAAGAGTCCTATAGTACTTATTAATAATGCTATATAGTAGTAGCTTAAACTAATATAGTAGCTTAACTACCTAAATCTTACTTAGATAGCTATTAATATTCTCTTAATTAATCTAATATTTACTAAGTTAAAGAAGATATTTAGTAGTTATAAAAGGATATTATTATAGAATTAAGTAAGACTTTCTACTACTAATCTTAGGTATATTAAGTACCTAAAGAACTAGTAGAAGAACCTTTATTTTAAGAAGGTAGATCTACCTATTAATAAAATATAGGAGGATTATATAAAGGAATAAGATAACTTTTTAAAGAAGTAGAGTAACCTTATAGAAGGATAAAGTAATAGTAATAGTAATAATAATATTAGAATTAGTATTATTCTACTAGATAATTAATATAGAATAGAATCTTAGCTAGAAGTAGTAGAATGGAATGGAATAGAGCCGATATTCTACCGATTCCATATATCGTCCACTCTATGAGTCCGTGCTTTCGTCTCGTCGACCAAGCTTTCTTAACCGAGAAGATCGGTTCGAGTTGCTATTCAAGTCATCGTATACCTTCCAGCCTAGATAAGTATTCTGCTTAGGGTCTACAGGATGCTGCATCTATACACTGATGAATGACTTGAATACTCGATCTGCCAATATGTTTGGGAACTGCATATGCCTACTTCTATGATTCCTTATGAGTCTCAGGATACGTCTCAAGCAGAAGGTAAACACGGAAGAGCATTGGTATGGCGGAGGAAGTTCTATCGAACAAAGGATTGTATGGAGTCTTTGACAGATGTAATGGATTAGGTCTGGTCCTCTCCAGGACTCCAGAGACCGACATGGTTGAACGGAGCAGAGCTTTCAGTGCTCAGACAACCATAGCTGATCTTGAAAGTCTGAATCGATGCCGTGGGTGTGACTCGGTAAGGGCCATCAACAGGTAAGTCCAGAACCGAAACCACTGATGTCAGGGCCGTTCTTCATAGGGCTGTGACTGGTGATGACAACATCTTCCAGTGAATATGTTACAGTGCAGTCACTTGTTGTGCTGGAGAACCCAGCACCGGGGGTCAAGTCATGAATCCATCCAGGCGGCAGATTGGTGAGCTTCTATGATACAAGTCCCTTGTGTTGGGATTGATGAAGTTTGCAGCATTGCGCGCGCGTGTTGTCAGGCATGCAGCACAGCCGCTACTGGCAAGAGGAAAATTAGGGCCGTACTTCTCACACAAGATTCCGCATCTCGGTATATACGAATCTGGATGTAGACCTAGAGGACGCAAGGTGAAGAGGTTCGCGGTCGTAGTACATGCGTGTATCGTGTTCGTGGTATCCTAGTCCTGGATTGCATCGCGGGCTCGACTGCAGGCACGTAAACAACTTGGGTCACCTCTGCAGTTGGCTTGAAGCGGAAGTTGTGCCCTGTATGATCGCAGTTGCTGAACCAGATACACGAGTGATCCTTGAGGTCTTCTTGGCCTGAACAGTTCCAGTGCAAACTTGCTGAGGTGCCCAAGCGGAAGCAATCGAAGGCGTAGGAGCGAACCCCTTGGCGAACATGTCCTGTTGTATTGATGAACGAGGTTGGAATCGAGTCCTGAGCCTGTTCTGGTGGCGGCTTGCATTGACAATCTTGCTTGAAACTCTGCTTTACGATTCTGAAACTTCTGATTGACGATTCTCTTGATGATGGCCGTCGCGACAGGAGTCTCCAACGAGAAAGAGCGATGATTGTAAGGGTCGGTCTTGCTGGTCTTGGACATGGACTATGTTGCTGGACGTTTGACTTTGTCAAGAGGCTACAGCTGTCTTGATTGTACCCGGATGATGCGCATCTCGCTTGTTTCAAGTGTGCTTGCCTGGAGTGGGGCTTGGAGTTGAGATGGTGTCGAAACGCCCCCAATCGATCCAGCACGGCTAGGAGACCAATCAAGTTGCAGCCGATGCTTCCAGAAGTGCTGAATCCATGCCAATATCGTGCCACCCTTGCGGCTTGAGTGCAGCCCGACTTCGAAGACTGCATCAAGATATCCAACTCTCATGGTCGTGGCTACGTCTTTCCATTCTCTTTGTGAGATATTGAAAATCAGCGGTCTTACTCCCATCTCTTTGCCACCCGCACAATTCTCGCATTCAGTGATCTGGAAGACACTTCTTTCGCCATCAGGATTGCAGCTATCTTTGTTTGTGATGACAACCAGACCATCGGGCCATGAGCTGACTAGAGCCACACCCTCAGTGTCGATAGGATCTACGACCAAATGCGATTTACTGGCATCACAGTCATAATTGATCCTCGCCGAGTTCTCCAGAATAACAGTAGGATATCTTGTATCGAAGGTAGTCGAGATTGCAAGTGTTGTTTTTGGCTTCTCAGAAAACAGCAAGGCAGTCGAGTAATGTGGATAGAGTGGGTAATCTGCATGTCGGTCGATTGTGGTATCTGTGATAGGGTAGAATGTCTTTTGAGTTGGATCGCTGTTGGAGAGTGTGATTGGAGATGCCAATACAGCAGTTGTTGGCAGGAGAAAGATAGAAAGTAGTGAGAGCAACATGATGCAAGAGCAAGACCTATATTCAACAGAATCCCGAAGTGCGGAACCAGATATATAAGTTCTGTATCATGACTTCCATACGTCCGTCAAATCCCCAGACGTCTGTCAGCTGGCCGTTTGGATGGCTGTTCCATCTCGTAAATCCTCCAGCGTGTATTGACATCTTGGCAGCTGTTCCTTCAGCTTTATTGGCCAAAAGCGCATTCGATCCTTCAAGAGATCCTTCACCTTACATATCTTCTCGAATCACAACCGTCTCTATTGACATGTCTCAAGCAGAATTGTTCAGCACAAGCTAGCACTGTTGACAGCATCACCTGATACGTAGATCCATAGGCAAGCGCAGACATATCTGCGCCTGGCTAGTCTACGCCTCCTGCTTCTGTGGCTGAATTCTGCGAACAATAAGGTCCAGATTTGCTCAGATCTGTCCTCAAGCGGCTCAGTTCGGAAGTATCATCTGACTTTCGAAGAGGCCACACCGTACATGCTACTTAGCAGTGCTGTTTTCTTTTTCAAGCCATTCTGACACTACTGCTTCTCCAGAAATTCACTATCGAAATACCACATTTTGGAGCTGGATCCAGTATCTACGATGCAATGCTTGGAAGAGGGCGCTGACGGCAGAAAGCTTAAAGCTTTGTTTACCGACGCTCAGAAGCCAGCGCAACAGCTTTTGGCGAAAAGCGAAAAGGAAGTAAAGAGCGCAACGTTAAGCTCGAAAAGACCTGCACCTACTGAGAAATGGAAGCTCAGATTTAGTAACTCAGGCCTCATATCGCAGGCAAAGGTATTGCCACAGTCAAATCTCGAACGACGCTCTTCAGCTTGCCGTTGAGATAGCCGTTGCATCTCAGCTCAGCTCTACGTTCTACACGAAAAGCTAAACCCCATTTCAACCGCCTTAGTTGGGGTTGCATTCCGAGCTCTGATACATAGTTCGGCGTTCACATTGCTGCATCATTTTCTGCTTGGAGAAAGTGGACACACGAAATTAAGGCGATCCATTGACAAGACATACTTCATGTCTGGTAGGTGTGATTAGACCCTAGGGCCAGCTCCTGCCTTGCAGTCAGAGATCAAAGTATCCTTTATTGTATAGATTCAGACAGACCGTGAGCCTGATCTAAAAATGTAGCTGCTTAGAACAGCAATTAAGGTCTGGATCCGGGCGTTGGAAGGGGGGGAAAGTTGAGAAGCTTCTGGGAAGCAACGGCCTTGGCACCTTTATCTCCATCAGGCAACAGGTCGTTTATCATGGTAGAGATTCCCCGACTTGTTTTTGAAAGTCAGATCGCAACTGCCTCTTGTGACAAGTCTCACTCATGAGCGCCCGATAGACTGCCATCGTCATAGTCTAGCTGATCAATGCCTCAAGAACCCGCGATGGAGCACCTCATCTCGGCGCCGCAGCATATCAACGATATTCTCCTCACATATGCCGTTATGGAGTACTAGAATGCAGCCTAAGGTGCCTCATAACTTTTTCTTGGTTGAGAGTATACCTGTCGTGGTAAGCTACCTAGGCCAAACCTTGTCAAGAAGCACAAAGAGGAAAGCGAAATTATTCAGGACCAAAATAGATCTGAGTAGAAGGCTGGCTTTGACCTTGTTTGCATGATTCATATAGCCTTTCAACTTCCCTAAAAGAGCTTTCACCACGTTCGCTGCTGTCATTGCCGCGAATCCTTGCCATTCTGTGTTCTTGTGAGAATCTGAGTAATCACAGATGCCCCGTATGACCAGGCAGGGAAGGGGATTCATCAGACCCGCTGCCTTCATCTCAAAGCACATGATGCCTTTCTCACTGTATGACCTACTGCTTCGAAAAGAGGAGTAAAGCCAACAAGCTCGACTCTCCTTATCAACCACTTTGCTGCGAGAGACACCCCCGAAGAACTCGAGCAGCGTTCTGAGCCACCCTACTCTCTTCCTCACTCATCCACTCTTCATTCGCTCTTTTTCCAAATCGCTTCACCCAAAAGTCCCATCCAGCGTTCAAAAACCCTGGCTCACCATTCCACAACCCCGTCTTCTTGTCCAAACCTCTGCTCCACTTCTCCCCAAAGACTGCATTATCAAACTGAACAAGCCTCTCACCAGCACAAATAACCCATTGCGCTGCAGTCACAACATCAGTTTCCATCGCTTTGCTCAGACGTGACAATAGAGTTATGCAGTAGTTTGCTCTTGGCATAAGTTTTTAGTGTCGATTCCAATGCATCTCGCAGGTGGAAGAAGGCGTGTATGCCTATCTCCCTCACAAACATGTCTTTGTCGCCATAATTCAGCAGGGTTGCTGAGGAAGCAGAAAAGTTTATCCATCGTTGTGCGTTGGCAAGACCATTCACAGAAGCAGAAGAGTCCCAAGATCGACATGTATGTTAGTAGCTGCATACGTATTGCCAGCTGGTCCATAGGTTGTAGGAAAGTGCGTTAGGAGCTTGAGGACCAAGAGGTAAGTTGCACATGGCTAGAGTGAGGTTTACGATAGTGGGGATGTGGGACGGCAAGTTGGTTGCTGTATGAATCAGGAGGTTCCAGAGTCGATATGCAGTATCTGCTTCATCGCGACCTAATGAGGTGTTGTCGATGAATTCTTTGGCTGCATCTTGTGGGCTGATCTTGTGGGCTGATCTTGTCTTCGATCAGAGACTTGAGGATCTGGGTATGTTGCGGGAGGGCGCCGTGCTTTTGGGCTGTTGAGTGTTCTAGCCACTGGTCCAGTGGTGATGACATGATGTTGCGAAGTTATCGTAGCTTGGTCTGGAAAAATTATCTGTTATGGAGATAGGAACTGTGCCCTGAATGTGAAAAACGATGGGATGTCGGGCGGGGCCCCTTGGTCAAAGAATTTCTTGTCAAGAACTAAAAAAGAAAAAACAAAGAAACGAGGGTATCAACCATATTATCCCAGCTCAATCATACCATAACAACATCAATCATCATCACAAAGCGCACTCATATCTCATTACTCCCAAACCAAACACCTCACTAGATAGAGACACCACTACTTCCTCGACGAATCCATGTTCTCCCACCCATAAGTCCCCTCGGCCATAGGATACTTCTTCATCTCCGCTTCTTCTTCTTCCGCAGTCATGTTCATAGCTTTCTGCTGCGCCCTCTCCGCCGGAGAAATCCTCTTCAAGAACCCTGAAATGCGTTTTCCAACACCAGGTTTGGAGTCACCATCATGGTGAGAGGAGCTAGATCCTTCTTCGAAGCCGTCGTCTCCATATTTAGCAGCCAATGCCTGTTTTTCTTGACTCGCAGAGGGATAATCGGAGGAAGAGGAAGAAGAAACAAGTTGACCATTTGTCACGGTCTGGCCTCCAATGTTGAAGGTTTCCATGTAACCGCCACTATTCATCATATCGCGTTTCGCAGCCCATTCTTTGAGAGATTGGAGACGAGCTGCTTCTTGAGAGGGTGTGCGTTGGAGATATTCAGGTGGTTCTGTGGTTGGGAGTTCTGGTTCTGGTGGGGCGTCTTGGGTGTAGACTGGTAGTGGTTCTGGCATTTTTTGCGACATGGTTTCGGAATGTGTGTGGTCGTAGTACCAAGATGACACTATGTGCTTTTGGAAGTGCTGCAGGGGATACGAGGATTTGAAGGTGGAAACAAGTGGGGGGGTTCTAGCCTGCCTTCTTGTAGAAATGCTTGATAAAGCTTGTCCCAAGGCTTAGCTCTTCTATTCTTATCGTTATTATGGCTGTGCCCTACAACAAACGGTACTCTGTCAGTAGGTGGCTGAACGATGCAAAAGCCGAAAGGATCCGTCTGCATCGCCACCCTATAAACCAAAAACGTGAAAGACTTGGGGCTCAAGGCAGATAAGTAATCAATTGTCCAAGGGGTCCAAGAAGAGCAAATGCAGCACAATGGTGACGTATGCGGAGGTAAGCTTGCTATGCCGCTTCTTCCAGCTTTGCACCTCCTGCGGCAATTCCAGCACATCCAAACACGCAGTAGGAAAGGAAACCATAAGACAGATCAAAACAATGGGCAGCGATACACGCGGCGCACTAGTAGTGGTAGGAAGCGGACCTGGAATAGGCAGCCACGTCGCCCGCACTTTCTCTACCCACGGCTTTACACGCATCATCCTGCTTTCCCGCGATCCCTCACGCCTCGAGAAAGATGCAGATTTCATTCGCGCTGCGACACCTTCTGCCGAGATTTCCACTCTGCCTATTGATCTGGCAAACACATCTGAGATACCTTCGGCACTCAAGCAAGTGGACAAAGCCCTTGGAAACACACCTCTGGAAGTCGTCCTCTTCAATGCCGCAAGAGTAGGCCCAAGCACTTTGGTCCAATGGCCCATGGAAGAACTCGAGCTCGACTTGCGGATCAAAGTAACAGGTTGCTATGCTGTGGTTCAATGGGCACTTCCCCACCTTCTAGCCGTAAAGACCACCCACCAGCCCGCCTTCCTCTGCACCTCAGGATCCATCTACAAAGAGCCTATCCCAGAGGTGTTTTCGCTGAGCGTGTGTAAAGCCGCACAACACAATTTGGTGCATAGTATGCATAAGAAGTACAAGGAGGAGGGGGTATATTGTGGGCTTGTTGTTGTGGGTGGGGTGGTCGCTGATGAGAATCCTCAGTGTAATGCTGAGAATATCGCCAAGAAGACTTGGGGGTTGTATGAGCAGCGTAAGGATTTGGAGGTTGAGATTGTGGATGGGTAGATTCACGTCAGTTGGATGTTGAGGGGACAACCCTGCTTGTATAATCTATTTCAACCATAAATGTCACACGCAATGCCACCAACATTGTTCGTCTTGAGTGGCAATTCCAAACCATCTCTTCATCGGCATATCTCCCATGGCTGCTTTGCTGACCAAGAGTGTCTGTGTTGGGGGCGGCAACTTTGCAAGCATGATGGCAAAGCTTTGTGTGCTTGCGAGATGGTGGTGGACGCCTGCGGGAGCGATATATCCCTGATTAAATCATGGGTATGACAGCTTGTATATCTTTCTGATGCTACTTCTTCGATTCTACATGCTATCCAAGATCCTTTTTACACTGCACAAGATGCAAAGGTTACCGCAAGATGATCGCAGTCAATGAGATACATCATCACTCAAACCCACGTAAACCTCCTTGCACCCCAACTTAAACCACCAACAGCAGCAGTGACACCAGTCATGATGATCAACAGATTATAATCAGAAGAATATCCCAGGCTTGGTCTTGAACTCGAAGCCGTCATACGCACCAAAGCATCACTCATAGGACCTGAGCAAATACTGCCAATTCCTCTTCCCATGGCCAAAAAGCCAAACACCAGACTGGGATGCGTATCAGGTTTAGACGTCAAGACTTCTTTGATGATGCCGCTCCAAGTAGTGCTGAAACTGCCTGCGAAGAAGCCGTATGTGATTGCGAAGGCGAGGAGCATTCCTGTTGACGAAGCGAGGCCCCAGAATATGAATACTGAGAGCAAGGCACCGATTGTGGAGAGGAGGATAGCGGTCGTGATGTGCGTTCTGTCGATGACCAAGCCCAACACGATACAACCGAGGACCGCCGAAGCATTCAGCAATGCAAGTGTGGCAGTAGCGATGGTGTTCGAAGAGCCAATAGATCGTGCATAAGTAGGAAGCCAGATACTAGGCAAGAAATACCCCAAGCCCTCAACTGCATTTCCCAAGCTGTAGATGATGAACAATCTCGATTTGAGGAAGGAGAAGTTGAAGCGAGGACGAGGAGCAGACGATGCTGCATTGACCGGAACACGAGGTCGTGTGAAGTGCAAGAATGGGAGCACAAGCAACACTAACACAATTGACCACATCCGGAGAGCTGTGCGGAAGGACCAGCGTCCCAGGACCCAGGACATGAGGTAAGGAATCGATGCTCCAGCAAACCCGCTGCCAGCCCACATGACTCCATAAGCCAGACCTTTGCGACGCACAAACCATTCATCGACGTATGTGACGGTGGGACTGTACAGTAGCGAACCACCAATAGCATACAAGACACCTTGAGTCAAAAGCAATTGCCAAACAGCGTTTGCAAATGAAGAGGCGACCAAGGAGACTGTCATACACAGCAAGCCAGCATAAGTCGCATGTTTTCTCAGATGTGGCCAGTATGCCAGTCCACCAAACATCAGAGGTCCAGAGAGATAGATGATGCCGAGTGATGTTGTTCCGATGGCGGCGATGCCGGAAGAGTGGTCGGCGAAAGGAGGATGTGAAGTATAATATTCTTGGAAAATACCAAAAGATGCAGGAAAACCCCAGACCAGAGACTCGATGATGAAGCAACCGAAGAGACAAAGCCAAGCGTCGCGACCCTCATCGACCGGCGGGAGAGAAAAAGTCTCGTTTGGAGTGTCTGAGCTGTCGTCTGCAGGAATATGCGGTCGATCCTGGAGCCGAGTGCTCTCTGTCGACTGTTCGTGAGACATTATGGTTGATGATAAAATGAAACCTACAAGTGAAAAGTACAGAAAACCTTGATCTTATAGGTAGAGATCACAGGACAAGCAGGGGCCGCATGTTATCGCGCGTAGCCTGAGTTTGGCTCCTTCCTACCTAGACTAACGGCCAACAGAGCACTCCAGACGACCGAATTCGGCGAGCCATGGCTGATAGAGAGCGAGCGAACATTTACAGACCGAAAGCGCTTTGGATGTTGACTCATCAAGTGTTGGATGAAGAAGCAGCAGGAGCTTGGTCCGCAGCGCAAAGCGACGGTCGGCTGTTCGTACAACTGCGCATCTATCCTTAGATTCTTAGATTTGTTAAATTTGTAGATTTGCAAATTTCCGAATTTCTAATTCTATGTTGTTTATACTGTATATTTATGCTGACTGCTAGATAGGTATGCATTATATAGGTCTTATATATGCAGATATACTATATATATACATATATATATATATATATATAATTATAATTATATAAAGTAAGGTAGACCTAAGGGGTTATGTTACTATGGGTCTATATACTAGCTGTTATATAGACCCTTAAGATTGAAGACCCCCTAGATTCCTTCTTCTTTAGGCGTCTACTCTATCTATACTCCCTTATATGCGTTTACTTATTAATATACCTTTTTATAGTATATTAGCTATGATATATAAGGTACTATAGAGCTGTATTATCGTAGGATCTATTACTAGTTGCAACAACTTATCTCTAGAACACGTAAAAATACAACTCTGCAAATCTACGAATTAACAAATCTGAGAGTTTAAGGATAAATGCGCAGTTGTACGAATAGCCGACGGTCAAAGCCCTAACTTTTCCCCACTCAGGGGATGCGCTTTCGGCTCGGTGATCATCAAGATCTCGGACCAAATAATCATGATCAGCCAAGAATGTGACATGATGTCGTTGTCAATCTCATATCTGTGCCAAACAGAACCACGAAAGCAACACTGGGCATTTCTTGCGACGAGCACAAGTAATGACAAACAGATCGACAGGAAGTCATGTTAAAGCAGTCGGAGGCACGGCAGGGTAGTTTGGATATAGCAGAGGGCAAGATCTAAACTAAACCGTCAATGTCCCGTGACATTCATTATTTGAATGCATCACCATCATCCGAGAAATCGTGAACAGAAACGCCGAGGCCATGCACCAACAACCAAACCAAGGAAGACAAAGCAGACGGAGCGCGCCCACATGAACACCAATAGCCATAGCTCAAACCTCGTTGTCATGGAAATGGAAATTGACATCGCGAGGACGCAGACGATTGGTTCTGACAAACTCGGCATCACCAGGCGGACGTTCATTCTTGGAGTTGCCAGTCAACATGCTCTGAATGCTGAGACAGACACTTTCCACATTCTGCACTGGCGACCATCCCTGAGAAGCAAGTAGATCCAGACAGATAATACCGTTTGTGTAGATGTGAGGATGAATGGGAATAGGGCGATCCGGGTGGCGGACAAAGACGACTTCGGGTGGTTCTGGAGGGAGTGGTTAGCGGGAAGATTGGAAGGGTGAAGAGAGGAGGAAGGAGATACCTATCGGGTAATTTGGACTAAACTCGAATTTTAGGCGGTAGGTTTCACCTTGGTAGATCGGGTTTGCATCCATGACTTGAATGTCCATGAGCCATGTCTTGAGGTTGTCTGCTGATACGAGAGTGATGCCCGGAGCCAGTTGTCCTTGGACCTTGAGGAGCTCCTTTATGTACGTTAGAATATTATCAGACTCATAGCGTATCAAATGAAATCACCTTTTGGAGTCTCTTGCTGCTCATCATCTTGACGGTGATGTTTGAGACGATAGGCGACTGGAAGTATCGTGGTTGTGGAGCAAAGCCCAAAAAAGGCGGGAGTGTCGGGGCGGAGAGCAGCGGTCAGAGCAAGGAACCCCCGAGATTGTTGCAAGCTGAGGAATCCCTTGCTGCAGCAGGAGATTCAAGGAGAAAAGGCTTTCAAAACAAAGAGCGAGAGTGGTTGCAAAGCGGAAAGATATGGAGTGTTGTCACGATACAAGGCTTGTTGCAAGGCTGGAGATTGAGAACTTGCAGGTCGACCATGCTCAGGGTCCACGCATGTGACAGTCGACATTCACAACACAGCAACAATTATCACCGTCACAAAATATTAAGATAACAAGAATTCGAGCAAAAACCATTTCAGGTGTTCATGCTATATAACTCACAGGTCATTTTCCGTTAGGTGTCGTAGGTATGCGACGACGAAAATGAGTTCGAATCTAATTCTCTCGCAATGAGGCATGCCATGCTCAACGACCAGTCAAGGGACTAGTAAGAGTGTCTCCCGCTTGTCCTACCTCTTTGCCGAGGGGATTCTGGAGTGCTCCCCCTACGAGGTTGCCGACTCCTGACTTGATCTCTTTCACGTCCTTCTGATCGGACGCGGGAAGGGAGTTGATTTGATCTGCGAGAGGAGGTAGTGTTAGAACATATGTGCATCGAGTAGACAATGTGAGCCGTACCTTTGACCAAGTACGAGGCCTTGTTCTCGCCCATTGTCTCGAGGGCCTTGTCTTCCATTGCGCGCTTCCACTGAACTGGGATACCGAACATGTACACAGCGGCGACCATCAAGGCGACGACCGCGACGAGGACTGCGAGATATGTGCTGGCGGCCATGTTGTCGGATGAAATCAATTCTTGCGAGAAGCTTCTGGATTTCTAGTTCCTGCTGATCTTGTTGCAGCTGTTGTGCCTGAGAGTTTTGACGACGATTGACTTCCTAGTCGGAGTTGTAGAGTTCTCTACGGCTATTGATGAGGTGTTCGCTTGGAGCGCCTGGAAGGGAGCGGGTGCGTGCACGAACTCCAATGACAGGTTCTGCAATTGCTGCCGATTTGGTCGACCGATTGTCTTGTGGAGCGAAGGGGACTTGGATGGAAAAAGTGACTTGTTCACTGATGATGGGTTGTGGTCGAGGCGGAGGTGTAGGAGCTCGCTCCGGAGTCTGTGGTGATGAACGAGCACGGAGGGATTGTGTTGGAGAGAATCGTCTTCTGAAAGGTAGACGATTAAGGGCGACGTGGAGCCAGTGCTGGCAGGTCAGGATGAATGAGTTGGAGGAAGAGGATATTGACGTCTTTCGGATGCGAGGATCTTTGTCTGCAGCCATATAAATACAGGCGGATCGATCAGGTTTGTGTTTGTTCCGTCGTCAGCAGCAAACGTCAGAGCTGGGCCGCTCTTGTACCAGGATGACGTCCATTGCAGCTTCCTTGGAAGAACAAAGGTCACTCCTGCATGAAGTTACGAGGAGCGTTCAGCTTCATCAAGCCCGTCTAGCCCTACCTGTTATGTGTACAGATTCTGGCGGCAGGAACAGCGTTGCTCGTCTCACGCGACCGGAAGCTATTCTCAGGGCGGGTGCAAGCTCTTGGATGTCTTGGAGCCACGCGACAGCTCGAGGCACGACAGTGTTTGCGCAATCATGTTGTGATAGCCAGGAAAAGATCAATGCTGGTTCATGGGCAAGATCAGCCTGCACCTTGCAGGTCCCAGTTGATGGACATTGCAATGTGTCGTGCTTGGGATTGACATGTCTCAGGTAACGCAAAGCAACAACAAAGGACCCTGAACCTTGAAGCCTCACAAGCTGGAGGCGGCGGGCGGAGCTTCACATGCTCGCAGCTCCTATTGTAAAGCAACCCCTCCTTCAAGACACTTCCACTACGAGGATGATGTTGTTGCTGAAATGCCGCAAATTGCAATACGCGGTCTCTGCAAAAATAGGCAAAAATAGCAGGATAATATATGACTTTTGTGTTTCAACAGACAGCTGAAACTCTGCACAGCCCGCCGTGACATTTGAGCTCTCCCTCTCTCAGCCTCTGCCCCACGCACTGCCACGCCGGCTCCAGCCCGCCGCCGAGCAATGAGTGAGACTGCCCTGGATCATGATTGATTACCTTCCTTGACTTGTTTCCTCTTGACTACCTATCTCTGTCGAGTTCTGCTTTTGCGTGTCCTTCGTCTAAACCTTGCGACGAACGTCGTTTCCATTTCTGTCGTCGTCGCTCATCTTCTCTCCCTAAACGCAGCGCAGCATCAGCGCTTGACGGACCGCAATCATGAGTTGTAAGTCCCGTCAATCGCTCCTTCCCTGCCATACCTGAGGATGCGATTCGCACACTGTGAGCTGTTGCTCTCATGCTTCTGCTTCTTACACCATCTTACATCCTCTCTAACCTGACGTCCATCATCTTCACCCTACAATACCTGCTCCAAGCATTTCTCTAATCAAGCCGCCGGTATAGTCACCAGCATGCTCAACAAACTCCACGGCCAGCCCGACAGCTATGACAAGAAGTTCGTCCAACACTGCGCTACCTGCACCCTCTCCCACTGACGTCGCAACCACAGAGCCAAGTACAAGTTTGGCAAGACCCTCGGAGCTGGCACCTACGGCATCGTCAGAGAAGCAGAATCGCCCCAAGGAAAATGCGCCGTCAAGATCATCCTGAAGAAGAACGTCAAAGGCAACGACCAAATGGTCTACGACGAACTGCAAATGCTCCAGCGCCTTCAACACCCCCACATTGTCAAGTTCTTCGATTGGTTCGAGTCAAGAGTGAGATACACAAGAGATGGAAACACTTTGCAGCAGAAGCTGACGAAGGAATACAGGACAAGTACTACATCGTGACACAGCTTGCGACTGGTGGGGAGTTGTTTGACCGCATTTGCGAAAAGGGTCGCTTCACCGAAAAGGACGCTTCTGCAACCATAAGACAGGTCTTGGAAGCCGTCGACTACCTCCACCAGAACGATGTCGTCCATCGCGGTCAGTCTGAGACACAAGCCCACTCTCTACTCAATGCTGACCATCCGGTGTAGATCTCAAGCCCGAGAACCTCCTATACCTCACCAAGGCCGAAGACTCGACTCTCGTGCTCGCAGACTTTGGCATCGCCAAGCATCTCGACAGTCCCGACGGTGTTCTCAAGACCATGGCTGGTTCCTTTGGTTACGCAGCACCCGAGGTCATGCTCAAGAAGGGACATAGCAAGCCTGTCGACATGTGGTCTCTCGGTGTCATCACCTACACTCTTCTCTGCGGGTACTCGCCTTTCCGCAGCGAAAACCTGACAGACTTGATCGAAGAGACCAAGCACGGCAGAGTTGTCTTCCACGAACGCTACTGGAAGGATGTCAGTAAAGAGGCCAAGGATTTCATCATGACTTTGCTGGTGCCCAAGCCCGAGAACAGAGCGACAAGTGCAGTATGTTTGGAGACTCTATACCACTGATTTTCAAAGCTGACACATGCAACAGCAATCACTCAAGAACCCATGGATCGCCGGCAAGGGTGCAACAGACCACAACTTGCTGCCCGAGATCAAGGCATACATGGCCAAGGCTCGCCTGAAGCGCGGTATCGAACTGGTCAAATTGGCCAACCGTATCGAGGCACTCAAGATGCAGGAGGATGAAGAGGAGGACGTACCACAGGCTGGAGATGTACCTGCAGGGGCAAAGGAAGCAGCAGGTGCAGCACTGGCAAACCAAGAACAGAAGCCTCTGGAAGCCGGCCTCAAAGTACCAGAAGACAAGGGAGTGTCACACAAGCGCAGTCTGAGCAAGCTTGCCAAGGGAGCCATCTTCCGTGAGGTTGTTTTGGCAAAGGTGCGTGAGATGAAGGCGGATGAAGAGGCACAAAAGATAGCATCTTCAGGCACTCTGGACAAGGAAAAGGAGAAGAAGTAAAGGGATTACAATGACTTTTTTTCAGCGTGGGATATGTTTCTTCCAAGTCGGCATGGCGTTTGGGATTACAGGACAGAAGAAGGGCGATTGCTACGTGACAGGCATTTTTGATCACAAGGCCAAGAGATATTCCTAAGATTTTGCTCTGGACGAAATGGAATATGCTGATAGAAAAATTACTGAAGAAGTTGGCTGTCTGTGGTTTCATGATGTTTGTGATGGTCAAGATGGTGTTCGTTGGTGGAAAAGAGGTCGAGGGGAAGCTTCCTGACGGCGCCGGTGACCAACCACACAAGACCCAAGGAGTGCAAGCTTTGGACGATGACATAGAGACAGCAACATGTCTCAGCAGCAGACAATTGTAGCGACAATAGAGCTAGAGCGAGACGACTGAAGAGCAAGCAATAATAAATTCCTCTGCCAATCACGTGTTAGATGGCCCGTGCCGCGACGGCTAGAGTGACAGCGGACGAGCGACAGAGGGAACGCGCGACGCGCAAGTCGAAGAGAGAGCAATTCGGAAGGCACGACCGGCCACAACAGCACTCGTTTCGGAAAGACAGCAAGAGTCGTGCAGTGCAGCTGAGATTTACGCGACAACAGAGACACCAAAATCATGGACCGCAACCGCAAGCGCAAAGCAACTGATGCCGCATCGCCCAAGGTTGAGAACAGCGCAAGCAAGCGTCAAAAGACCAGACTGGTGAGTGCTTGATTTGCGACAGAGAAGAAGAGAAGAAGCTGCGTCGAGACGTGGACTGTGTGTGGATTGATGGGCGAGGCTTCTGCACTTCCCCAAGCAGCACCGTCATGTTGGCCCGCCGCTCCGCTACTACGCACTGCGCGACCGTCGAGAACGCGAACGCTTGGACTTTCCCTCAAACCACTACGGCAAGACTGACGACTCGATCCCTCAGGAACACGAGACGCCGCAGACGACAACGACCATCGGCCTGCAGTTCATCGACCACCTCAAGTCGGCCAAAGACAAGACGTGAGTTTGTCCACCTTGATCATCTCCTTCAAGTCTAACCCTGTCGCAGTGGTCGCTTGATTGCCGACCTGTTCATCGACCTGCCCAGCAAGGTATGCCCAATCCTCTCCCCACTCTGCTGCATGTGCTGACACTCGACGCCACAGAGAGAACTGCCCGACTACTATCGCACCATCAAACTACCAATTGCAATCTCGACCGTCCAAGTACGACCCTCACTCTACCATACCCACCCGTCGCACCATCTGACACAGCTGCCCAGGACAAGCTCGAGCGCCATGAATACCCAACCCTCAGCACCGTCGAGAGCGACATCAAGCGCATGGTCGCCAATGCAAAACAGTACAATGACGACAAGTCGACCGTCTACCAAGATGCCGAGCGCATTCGCAAGGCCCTGTCCAACTTCATGACCAAACACAACCCCGCCTACAAGGATCCCAACTACATTGCCATCCCCACGCCCATTCCTGGCGGCGACGACGATGCCACTGCCTCGTCAGCCCCTCCGACCCGCGAGACCAGCGAGCAACCAAAGAAGATCACAATCTCTCTCAAGGCCAATCGCGATCGCAAGTCTTCAGCTGCACCACCAGCCGCATCAAGCCCGGCACTCGCCCAAGATGACTCGGACCCAGCAGACTTTACTGGCAAGACATTCCAACAAGCCCAAGAACACATCATCAACGGCCTGATCAGCCACATTGATCAAGAGTCAGTCGCTTCAGACATACCTCCGCTTACCGCTACTAACACTGGGACAGTCTCGATATCTTCCAGCCTTTCGTCACGCTACCTCCCCGAACATTGACCGATTACTACAACATCATCAAGAAGCCCACGTCGCTCACTTCTGTTCGTAAGAGAGTACGGGGACAACACAGTCGTGGGCCCGCAACAATGCAGACGGATTTCAAAACGTGGGATGCTTTCGAGGACGAGGTTTCATACATCTGGCGCAATGCGAGGGACTATAACGAGGACGGAAGTGACATCTTCAACTTGTCAATCGAGTTTGAGGATCTCTTCAAGGAACGCCTGGCCATTGCAAAGAGTCAAGTCGACGAGCCCACACAACCAAAGATCAAGCTCAACGCCCCAAGACCAAAGCCTGTACTACACCTTGGTGCTAGAGGATCGCCAGCCCCACGAGGCACTCCTGCCGACGACAAGAAAGAAGAGGCAGTCACCAACGGTGCAACCGCAAGCAGCGCTGCTGCATCACGATCCAACTCGCAAGTACCAACCACAGCGAATGCAACGGCCATCACAGCGTCAAGCCCAGTCGCAACAACAACAGCAGTCAAGACGGAAAAGTCTGTCGCTGCTTCCCCCTCCCTCGCTACAGTCCGTCCACAAAGCATTGCTCCAGACGCCAAGCAGAGCCCTAGACCTGGCACGGCCAATGCCATGCTCCCACCACCTTCTGTCCGTGGCATCAGTGGCAGTCCACACCCCTCAATGCTACCCCACGTTCCCCACGTACCGCAATACGTCCCTCCACCAACCTTCCTCGACAAATATGCCCGCTCCAAGCCTGTCTCTGAAGCTCTTTTGCCGAGTCTTGTCATCACGGCCCACCCGCAACTCAACAACCCTAAACCTTTCCGTCTAGACGTTCCACCCTCCAACAAATTCACCCAGCAGTCGCTTACCATGGCCATTCCCTCCGCCCAATATTACATCAGCATCATTCCCACTGTTTCACAGCGACTTTTGATGCAACGACAATACAAACTATTTGTCACCCTCAACAATGTCCGCCTCATGAGCACCGTCCGCGACTTCATGGTCGGTGGAGTTGCGGATAGGAAAATAGTCTACGATACTGCCCTCAACGCTGGCGTCAACAGAATCGAGGTCGAAGTTGTCGCTGTTTCTGGTAGAAATGGTGCTCTTGAGATGGAGAAGGTGACAGTGTTTGCCAATCTCTTGAAGTAGCATACAGCAGACGAGGCGGTTTCTGATGTTTTCTGGCGTCGAACGGATGGGTGCAGTGTTTCTGAATGGACTGTCAAAGCATGGCGCCGGCGTGCGCGTGGTGTTCTTTCTTCGTTTTCTGGCAGGTATACCTTTATTGTTTTATTTTACCGTTCTTCTCTTGCAGATAGAGGTTTAGACTGAAGTCTGCTGTCTCATCTTGGAACAATGCAATTCTTTCTAATCGACCAACCTTCGCTTGTAATTTCGCTTCTACAAACCTGGCTCTGACACGGCATACCATGCCCTAACACTCACCACTTAGGGCTCGGCTCACCACATGAACCGTTTCGAGGTCATTCTTGTGGGGAAATAAGTCTATCTCGGCCGAGAACGTGTGGGGATTGTCTTTCCGTACCGTGGAGAGGGACAAATAGCCGATATATGGATGGCCTTGAACTTTGTTCGTCCTGCCTGTTTGGGTGATTCTAATGGTGCACACAATTGGCGGCTTGAGACTGTTGTGGGGATGACTTCAGACGTCCGGCATGAAGGAGAAATCAGTCTACCGTTTCTCGTGAGTCGATATACCGATGAGAGGGGTTGATCACGGCGGTAGTTGAGTTCAGAGGCGCATTTTGAAATTTGCAAGTACTCTATGTCAAACTCTGGAAAGCTTAGATTTGGTGAGAAGAGGAGTGGTGTGAGGATGTGTATATAAAAATCCTTCTGCTCCTGTGCATACA